TATTACCTTCCTGGACGTTCCGATTACCAGATTGGTTGATATCTTGTGCACATGAGCCTATTTTATAGTTGGTTTTTATAAATAATATTAAACAATATACATGGGTATTTCATGTCGATTCCTTACCTGTATTACCTTCCTGGACATTTTGATTACCAGATTGGGTTATTACTTGTTGTGTACTCCAACCTATCAAAAATGATAAAGAATATCTTGTTTACATAATTAAATATGTATGAATCTTTTAAACTTATACTTGTTTCTGTCTCTTCGTTGAAATTTGAATATCCTTCTTCTTGGCACTCATCTATCGTACCAAAAATATATAAAAATCAAAATTCTAGCATAAATATATTTTTTTTAGTTTTTTTACATAATATTGTATATTTCATTTAGAAGACTCTATTATATAGAATCTGTATTACAGATATAATATTTTCGCATGTTTTTTCTCAAGAGCGCCTGTATGAATATTGTTACAAAGGAATGAAGAAAATGTTGTGATGCCAATTTATTTATTTTTTTGATATGGAATTTTGCAACACTTCACCCCTGTACTTTGATGGTGCTCTTGAGAGAAAGCATTTTTATTTGTATTGACAGTGTTTCTGTAATGCGACAGTTAGGGTGAACTAGTTACATGCTACTCGTGCACTTAAATGAGAAACTTTTCATACCTCCACTTCCATATGTATCGCTGCATATATCTGGTCCTAAATTACAAATATATCATTATTTACATGACTCTGCCAATTTAAAATTAACAGTTGTCATTTTTGTATTGTAAAATTATATCTTGCAGCGTTTTGAAGCAATTACTGACACGAATAAAACACATGTATTTTTCTATCAAACCATACAAAAAGTTAAACTTGCCTTTGGACGGAAATGAACAACATGGTAAGTTCCCTCCGCAAGTGTTGGAGCCAAAAATAATCTTTAAAACATTAAAATTTCATGAAATAAAATCAATGGTTTAATCGTTTAAAGATATTATTGAAATTCTATCTTTAAGTCTTAACTCAAAATTAATAAAAACCTGAATTGTAATTATTCCAATTAAAAGTATCAACATCAGCTTCATTTTTGACTATGATGAAGTTTAAGCGTACAAATCCTCATTTATATACATATTTTATCGGTGAAAATCGCTCCGAAAATAAGAGAAATTGAATCGCAATTTCTGTTGCAAGATTTTTTCTGCGTCAAATCTGAAGAAATTTCGATGGGGTTGCATTTAATGAATTTTTAATTACGAGATATACATTCTATACGTGCGTCAATCAAATCCAGAATAAAGTTGAAATTCTGCTTCTTAATGCATAGAAAATGTGCAATTATTTTGCGTATATATATTTTTTTAATTTTGGATAAATTTTTAACAGATGTTCCTTTTTATTGATATCACAGATATTACAAAATACTTTACGTCTTCATGGTTTCATTCTTGGTTTCACAATAGAAATATGATAATTGAAAGATCTTTTCAAAAAAGGAGAATTTATTTTGATTGTAGTTTTAATTAAATATGGTATAACTGAGTTAACTATGAAATGCACTGTAAAAGTTATTAAAAAATTTAAATAATATGCTCATAAATACTCGGGTACCACTGTAGAAAATGAGAAAGATGTTTTTTGTGGAGCCGATGAATCCGAGTGATTCTTTCTCTAGGATTGGAGATCATAACTATCTTTTGTGGATTAGCAAAAAAAGAACAACAAGTAGTATTTTATATTTTAATTTAGTATTCAATATGACATAATGATGCAGACATCATCACACGTCACTTTCTCTTTTAAAAAAATCAATTAATTTATACGTTTCTGCATACGAATCCACCAAGATTGATGAACAGCAAGAAATTAAGATTGACAATAAAATTGATATGATTGTGCGTGAAAGATATATGTCTACAGATTCCAAATGTTCTTCCAATTTGTTTCCGATTTTATTAAATCATTGGTTTGTATTTGAACAGATTACTTACACATATGATTTATGTTTACATTTCAAATTATACCATGGCACCATATGATATGAGACCAAGACCTGAAGAGAAATAATACCTATTATGATTGAAAAGCAAATCGAAACACTGCTATCGATGTGTTTATAGTTAATTAAATTCCTCACACGGCTTCCTGTCTCCAAATTAAAGCAACAAAGTGTGATTGTTATTTAAATCAAATCTTACATTTGAAATTGTAAAAAACATATCCCAAGTCTGCATAGGGCATAGGCCACCTGTAAAACATTATCAGTGGCATATTGAAACAGATGTAAAAAATTCTCTTCCTCTTGCACGTGCGATATGTTGCTGAAATTGGTTGACGCACGAAAAATACGAGTGCTATTGCAATCAAAATACCGCCGATTGGGTTAAAAATATTTCGTAAATATACCTTCAAACAGATTATTCTTGATTGCAATGATATGATCTGCTTCTATTTGCCTTAAATTGGTTTTTTTTTTGAAAATAAATTAAATGAACCGCACATATGAAATGGCGTATATTGTTTTGCATATTATTTATGCAATACAAACGTTCTGATGGCTACCACGGCCACACGACGCACTTGCATAGGATTCAAGATGTGATGCAACACTTTAAAATGCTTTAAATTAAACAAATATAGCGCATTGAACTCATTTTGGTTGAGTTTCATCTATGTGTACGCCCCTGGTATTGGCCACTGTTGCTATAGGTAAAAAAGCCCCGAATACTATATTACAAGAATAAAGATATTTTCTTCATTGACGCACGGGGCTGTAATTTTGTAACAAAAATTTCTCATTGAAATGTTCTGCTGGGCTGTTTCATTTCTTTAAATTATTGTAGGAAGCTTCGGATGTGCATTTCATCTCAGTTCTTCAACTAAGCTATATGATTCAATTTTTGTTTTAAATTTGTTTATAAAATTGATACTTATTTGTTTAAAGTGACTTTTTATTCAATTGAAAACAGTGTATCTATTCTATTCAATTATTTATTCTAGATTGAGAAATAAAATCAATTTCTTTCTGGAATCTAACTTGTATTCTTCATTATTTAACAAAGAACATAGAATTAAAGGCCATTGCATTTACGTGTATTGAAAGTAACAATTGAATGTGTGATAAAAAACAGGAGACAAATATTTTTAATTTAAAGAATCAAACCTAAGAAAAAAATAACTATGAATTGATACGAAAAAGTTACCACATGGATTTCCATATTCTTGTGAGGTACAACGGGTTACAGATTTACCAGCATTGAAATTTTAATGTTACTAACCATTACATTAACATAAATGTCTGTAATAGTTAATAAAATTATAATAGCTATTAATGTAATGCTAAAATCTAACATTACAATTTCAATAGCTAATACCGGTAATGTCTTGTTACAATAACAATGTGTTATCCGTATTGTTAAAAATCTAACATTAATATTGAGACTTTTCAACACAACTTTAAGTTGAAAATATATTTACAATAGATGGAGTTTATGTCTGCTCTAAGGTCAGCATTGAAATTGATTGGGTTCATGAGAAATTTCAATAATGAGCTTAGAGCAGACACAGACGCCGTCTATTGTAAATATATTTCCGACTTAAAGTTGTATTGAAAAGTCTTATTATTAATGTTAGATTTCTGACATTAGCGGCAGCGTTGAGTAACACATTATTATTGTACGAAGCATTGCCAGTAATGTTATAAGAATAGCAATAGCTATTACTGGTAATACTAGAATCTAACGTTACAATTGTAATGACGTTACTGTAATGCTTCGTTACAATTGTAATGTGTTGGATTATTGGATTTGGACGGGGAGCATACTAGGTCTACTTTTCAGTAATATCCATAGTTTCTCGTTGCTCAGGTTAATTTACCTATTGCAAGACGCCCGTTTGAGTTGGGATGCTACTAGACTGCCGGGGTTCCATCTGTTCGGCACAGTCGCCCTTGCTGTTCGGCAGGGCCTAGACCATTGCTTCACTTAGGACCCAACTCACTGCAGTTGTTGTGAACACTCTTTACTCTACCATACTCTAGATGGCGCATTGTAATGTGTCACTGCAAAATGTAAATCTGTACAACGGGTATATTAAGCGGGTGACACATGTATGAGTTTGGGGACTTTTTTATGCGAATCTTACTGATCAGCGCCATTATTTGGTGAACTTCATTTAGTTCGGTAGCATTTAAACGAAATAATGCCACGGCTACACACAGTTGTACGTCAGTGAATGCATAGATATATGCTCTCTTCATTCTTTCATTCCACTGTTATACGTATCTCACTCGTCTACAGATCTATGTGACCATGTTATTGTTGTTGTCTTTTTTCCCTTTTGCGATTCAATGTATATTGAGTTCGCCGACTTCATGTAGGATGGCGCTGATCAGAAGAATTCGCATTTTGACTCTTCACAAGGCTATCTTCACTGCTGGTTTTACATAGTTTCATTCTTTGTGATGCAATTTTTCTGTGTTTAATTTTTTGTTACTCAAAAATAACTTGAGCCATATTCTAAAGCATTTCATTGTAAAACACTAGGGGGTAGACACGTGGAATAGGATTAGACTTTTTAGTGTAAAAATTCGAGAAATTAAAGTGGAATAGAGAATTCAGTAGCTGGATTCACATGGATTCACTAATCCCGTGTATGGAATAGCGAAAATGGGTTAATTCAAAGTTTTTGTAATCGATAGTACAGAATTTGATAGAAGCATTGAACTTGTTTTGAGATAGTAATTTGTTCTTTTTTGAAATATTTTTTAGTTCAAAAGTCGATTACAAATTTAAAAAACAATAGATACTCTTTCTCAAAATTTTATTGATGAAAAAAATAATTTTAATTATCAATAACAAAATGTCATACTCCAGTATCGATAAATAAGTTTTCAACAAAGTGAATAGCGGCGAAATGTGACATCACATTTGACAATGAAATGACGGATTGGTGGAATAGTAGGATTAGTGTTTTTATATTGGAATCATGGTTTAATCGTTTGTGTCTCCCCCCTAGGTAAAACACGTACATTAATTGGAACTCATAAATGTCGAAACATCATTTGAAGAGTATTCATATTGTTCATACATTGTTTTTTGGATATAATATTTGTTGACACGCGAACATATTGCATATACAGGGTGGCGCATATAATCGGGTTTTCCAGGGGGATGGGAATTTTGAAAAACCTTTTGGAGGGTATGTTAGGGGTAAAAAATAGAAAATTTCTATAGTGAGCAGAACTTTGAATTTTTCCCCAGGGGGATGGGGGATGGGGGTGCCCCCAATTTTTCAAAAGTTCATCGGATCAAAAAATAATGTACTACAAAGTTGTTCAGAATGAACGAGAGAAATTTTTTTGGACCCCTGCCCCCCAAGTCCCCTCACCTCTTAAGGGAGTCGGGGGTCAAAAACCCCCAAGGTGTGATTTTTTTACCTGAAACCCCGAAATTCGGAATCAGCATGCAAAATTACCTTAGAATTGATATTTTTCTCATTCACCACTGTCACACTGTCTAGACGTTGAGCCGGTCCGATTTAGATTCGTCTAGTAAATTGTGGAATTTTATTTAAAATTTTATGTTTCGAAATAAATCACAGAAATAGTCATCAATTGTTTAAGACGAATCCAAATAACAATAAAAACAATCTATTTTTATTGATATGAATTGAACTCTTGCGTTTTATTTTCTTCAAGATTATTCATTAAATAAAATGCCAAACTCTCTTGCATATTCATTCAATCTTCATTCAAGAAATCATTCTTGTGTATGAAATTATCAACATATTATGGCCCAAATACGGTTTTACATTTGATCTAATTATTATAATGACCGTACAAATCAATTCTAATTCGATTATTTAAATATATCCAAAGAAATAAAAATGTGAAAATATGCAAGCCTCCTTTTGGGTCAATAGTTGAATTATGATTTCAGGGGAGAATGACCTCAGTACAGGTTCTAGCTCGGTTTGATGTTTAATAACAACAAAAAAATGTAAATTTGCATGGAAATTTATTACGTAAATCTTCAATACGGCACAAATCGAAAACAACTGCATTTTATTTCAATAGCTGTTTCGAATGCCAATCATTTATTTTATACCAAAAAAAAAGAAATTAGTCTGTGCGGTCCGAAAGGTGTTACTCACATATTTTTAATATCAAGATATTTGACTTATTTTTAACCATGTGTTGTGTTAATAAAAAACAGAAATACAAATATAATCAAGTATACGTATTGATATAATGCAAAAAATAATAAGTCGAAATGTTTTCATTACATTTTTATAGAATTAAAAATAAAACCAGAATTCAAACTGTTTTTTTTTAAATATTACGTAAAACGGTGGCTTTATTATTATTACAACATCCATTTTTGCTGTCTGCTACACCCTATTAGATCGCCGTAGTACTAATGCGGTAAGGAGTGGGAAGCAATTACTCAAGTAAACAAATTATATACCATGCCATGAACATAGAGCGTGAAGTTGTCTAAGAACTCATAATGTTTTATAGCTTAATAGATTAGGTACATGTATATTTGATTAGTTTTTTTTTATTTTATTCAAAATGTATTAACATTACTTTCATAATTACGAAATATCTGATAATAAATTTATTTTCCTTTATTAAATTGAAAAGTTCTTGTACATCAATCATTTATATAATTTGGCTTTCTCGTTTCCATTCACGTCGTTCAATACGAATGGCATTTTTATTGCCAATTTTCAAAAGAAGATATGGTTTTATAACTACATCTTGCATTCGAAGATCAGTAGTTAATTTGAAACGTCTTAGGATGTGTGATAAAGCTATTTTCATCATCGTCCACGCATAACGATTTCCAATGCCTGCAGAATTGAAAGGAACATTCATAATCAAAAATGAAATCTTCAACTAATTTATTTAACATACAGTTGCGCGGTCCGGCTGAAAATGGCACCGATAAATACGGATGCCAATTTGCACAATTTTCGGGTAAAAATCTCTCGGGATAAAATTCATTGACATTTTCACCATAGTATTTTGGATTTTTGTTCATTCGAAGTACGTCCAAGAAAACTTAAAAGAAATGTTGTGTATTAAATTTAAATCATCATTTTTTTTGTACATATCATTGAGTCTCAGTACCTTGTGAACCTTTCGGTATGATGCCACCATTAATTGGAAAATCAGCGGTACATTCTCGTCCTATAAACGGGGCAATGGGAAAGTATCTCAACGCTTCTTTTATAACCAATTCCGAAAAACTCATTCGTTTCAGATGGTCATTTGTGACCGGTTCATCAACACTTTCAAATATTTCTCGCATTTCGTCAACAACGCGCTCTTGATATTCTTGGTGTATTGCCAGCATTATTATTGTCCCAGACAACACTGTTGCCGACGTATCAACGCTTGCAATAAGCATCGTATCCATTTCTTCATAAACTTCTTCCATGGTCCATTTTTGTTCAAATTCCAATTGTAAACACTTTTGTAGAAAATTTTGACAATTTTTCTCTTTTGCCTCGTCCAATTCATTTTCACCATGTTCCAACTTTTCAGCCAAATCCATTCGCTTAATTTCCAATGTGCTTCGACTGAATTGATAAAATTTACGAAATTTTTCCACATCCGTTTCATAATTTTGCGTAAATTTATAGATGGGATTCCATTGCCAACACTTTTGTGTAAAAAAAAACGTATGATTTAATACGATTCATACATTACCTTTTGAGTACGATTCATACATTACCTTTTGAATACGATTCTGAACGTCTTCCATAATTTCGATGATTAAATTGTGAATTTCATCGCCACGGCCATTTTGCATTGACAATTTGGACCAATTTAGACCAAACGATGTAGATAGAACCAAATCCATTGATACATTGAAGAAAGCACAATGTATGTCAATATTGCTATTTAATTTTCGCTCCAATAAATTACACATTTTGTTGAATTTTTCGTTAAAAATTGGCATGAAACTGTGAACCATTTTTGAACCAAGCGTTACATTCAATGTACGACGATGATCTTTCCAAATACTTGGATGTGCCGTTAATAAACCGGTGCGATTGTTTAAAAAATCGTACGGAAATGCTTTTTTCAAACATTTGTTTGATGTTAAAATCGCTTGAAAATCCTCCGGTCGATCAACATGAAATAATCGCATGGGGCCAACCCACGTATAGGATAATTCATTTGTTTTAAACGATTCGAAAATTTGTTCATTGTTTTTTCCAATAAGATTAAATGCTGTACCGATCACTGTTTAAAGCAGATTTGAAAAAAAATACAAAATTCACAAAAAAAATTGAAATTAATACGAAAATCACAAATAAATGGAAATGATTCTAACCTGGCCATCCTTTAACGTGATAAAAGTTTTTTAGTTTTGTTTTATTTAAATACACCTTCCAACACTCGACAACTAATACAAGAATTAATATCGCTAGTGAAAGTGCAGAAAAAACTCCACCAAACATTTTTTTTTAAATAAAAATTTAGCTTTCGCTCAAATTTAATAGAATTATAGGTTTGGAAATGAATGTTCTCTCTGTGCCTAAAACCAGTTACCTTTTCAAAAGACACGTTCAAACTGATGGTTACCATCGGAGTTTTGTATTTATGATTCAATTCAATAGTTTACAAAGATGTATTATTTTTGTTTACTTATATCTCAAATACTACGCACTAGTCAAATGATGTCGTTCTTAATATTTATTTTTAAACCATTTCGAATGTGTTATGAACAAGTAAGAAAAAGTACTTGGAATTTTGAAGCTCGGTTTAAATTCAAATACAAGAATATCATTTTCGAATTCTATAGAATTCATAATAGTTTCAATGGGTTTTGGGTAATTCAACGGCATTGATAAATGGGAATTATATTGCTGATGGAAGAATAAGAAAAAAAAACCAAAATGAATATATTATAGACGTGTTAACCATTACACCTCTTTTCACACGATGATCACATTGAATATTACAAATCATGGTGTTTCAAATAATTTTTTTTTTAGTATACTTTCTTTTGCGTCTTCAGTTTCAAGTTGAAACTTTCAACGATATAATACGTTCGGATGCTAACATACTTTAACGAATAATACTATTACTTTAATATTTACTTATTGGAATATTTTTTGTTTATTTTAATGGCACTTTAACAAAAATTTACATGTTTCGACACGACGAACAACCATATCTCTCGTTTCATCAGTCTTTTTTGTTTACGATTTTTTTTGGATCAACATAACATTTTATCATTTTCGTGCAATTTAAAAAGAAAATAAAAACATTATTTTCTTAATGTGAAATCAACCACAAATGATTATTTTCAACTTATGATTTAAAAGACGTGAAAAACTTAAAATATCGATAATAGTAGGCACCAATTCGAGTCGTTTCTCTAAACATATGAAATATTTAATTTTTGACGCTTCTATTTTCCTTCGTGCTTTTCAAGCGGGGATAGATACAATAAAAATATTGATTGACTCGCAATGCTTTGAGAGAGTCAAACTTTTGAGTTGTGAGGTGCAGTGCTTTTAAAAAAATCGGCCCTGGAGTAATTTGTATTGCAATAAAACCTGCTGCGAAAGCGTAAAAGAAAAGAAGTTCATAAATGTTTGAGAAACGATTTAAAAGTGCCTGGAAGTAGACAATATTCATACTTTGGAGATATTACTGTGTGAGTGAAACGAAAAAGCTTCGTTCAAACGATCCGTTACAATTTAAAGAACACTGTAGAAAGATATGTTTCGATCAAAATGAGATAAAAGGACCAAAGTCTTTACTGTAAGAAGAAGAACGAAACTTTTCATAATCGAGTTTCCTTAATCAATTAAGTTCAAGCGAGTAATGTATTTCTATAAAATCTCTCGAATCATCATATAAATTGTTTTGTCAATAGCCAATGTTGAATTGGCACTATACCTATATCATAGTTCGCGATTGAATTGCGTATGTTTGCTTTCAAATCAACTTGACTTTTAATTTCATTTCCTGTCCGTCGAATTAAACATGTAGTTTAGTTGACATTTTTTTCCTTAATTCCCTTTCTTTTCATCAATTTAATCATTAATTTCTTTCTCTGAATTGAAATAGACAGGTTCTACATCTTAGTTAGTCATCATTTTACTTTCAATAATTCAAATCAATGATGAACAAATAATAATCGAAAGTGGATTAAGTGATAGTTGCAAAACAACGAATAAGCGCGCAAAAAACAAATCGACATATGATTCACAAATAATAAATAGGTACTTTAAATTGTCATCAACGAAACTGAAACATTGAGAAAAACAAAAATTAGGCTGTTAAATTGGGTCACCACTTATTTTAGCGTTAAAAATCGCATTTGTTTACTCCTGCGGAATTGATTGCCAAAGTAAATTGTAAAAGTATGAAGAATTCGCCGTAATTTTTTGTCTCTTGAAATCGCGAAACAATCACTGCATTGTATGTGAATTTCTGCAAATATAACGACGCACTTGGTGGATTTTCTATTTTAACGGTAGAAAGCAAACAGTAATTACATATAAAGCTACTTCATTTGCTGTCTCTTCTAAATTAACGTATTATAACATTTAATTCTATTCTTCAGTTCGTCTCTTCGTTTCTGTCTTCCACGTTCTTCTTGATTGTTTGATGTTGCAATGGTTAGCATCACCAAAATACCAAAATGGAAAGTGAAGTGGTTTGGCAAAAAAGTGATTCGAAAGTGTTAGCAAACATGTTTCAATTTTTGTATGAATCACTTTATTTATTCTTTGTGCTTTAACAAAACAGCGGTACTCTAGTTAACAATCAAATGGGCAATTCAGTTTTTTTTAGATCTTTGTCATGTAATTATATATCATTTTGTGTTCTTATATGTACAAGCAAAGAAATTCATCTTTCAATTTTAATATTTTTACCTTTTTGTATTTACTCAACATCCAAAACGAAAATTGATTGAGCCGCTTTTCATATTCGCGAATTCTTTTTGTGTGCTTGCTACCAAAGAGTTGCCATTTGGTACAAATTGCAAAAACAGTTATGCCACAAATTTTCGCAAAACTGTTCATTCCATTATGTTGACTATTATTATTGTTTATTTCTTTCTTTCTTTTTAGCCCATGTTCTAATTGTGCAATTGTTTTTTTTTAAAATAGCCCATGAACGTGATTCATAATTCAATGCTAGCCTCAATACTTTGGTTATATTTGTTGTCCAATTTGGCGTCCACGTCCTGTCCACGTATATTGCTTTTAATTATTTAAACAAACTCTTTGTGATTTAATCGAATTGAAATCAAAACAACAAGATATTCCAGACTTCTTACTTTGATACGAATACGAATTCGCACTTTGAATGGCTACGATGAAGTCTCAAATCATTGGGAGTGACCGGTTCGGTAACTTCAAACATATTGTTAAGTAAGAGAAAAAAAATCAGGTTAAGAATGACAGAATAGTTTTTCAAGACGAGAAAAAAAAATCTTATTACATATTTTTGATGTCCATTGTACATGCTTCTTATTTCAGAATTATCCAGAGACTGATATGTCATATCGACAATCATCGAAGAATTGAACACTTGTCCAAAATTGCAATGACATGGAAAGCGTTATATCAATACCAAAATATGGTATAGGTAAAGTTTCACTGATAAATGATTATTAGCACTTTCATTCTCTGGGTTGTGTTTGATATTGTGGTTTATGTGTATACAAATTCTACATAGAGAGATAATAAATGCTGCCAACAATGGCCAAGCAAAATATTTTGGGTGTATACTTAGCAAATTTTAAAATGTCTATACAATAGAAGTGATTGTTATAGATGATTAATCAAAGTCTAAGCGTAATGTATGGCTTGTTTAAGTACCGTTTCAATTTTGGCTACTGTAAATGCTATATATGCATCATCAACGTAAAATTGCCGCTCATTTAAATAACTATCAATTTTGTAAATTAAAGCTGGTTCTAATATGACAATAGCTCCTTTAATATGTTAAATCATTGAAAAACGAAACAGTGAAACACGAATAGTGTTATCATTGTTTGCACTTTGAAAGGCTGACACTTTATTTCGATCATCATTGGATATTTGCATCAATTAAAAATGTTGATTGGAAACACGCAAACATTTTTATGAACCAGAATTTTACAACATGATCACATGTTTCAGTTAATTATTATTAAATGCCAGCTTATCTATCATCAATTGCAGAATAGAAGCGAAATACATTTTAATTAAAATGGATTGGATTTGCAGACGAATCATCGAATATAATATAAAACACCGGAACATGAATGACCATCAACATAAGATGTTAAATGAAAAAATTTACAATAAAAAAATAATAATTGCACAAAAGTAATAAAGAATAAAGACCAAAAAAATGTCGGCGTTTGAGAGATCTTCTTGTCACCGATGTTTTCAGAATAATTGCTTAATATTAGTATCGCTAAGAATTAGAATGGAACTCATATTTGGAGTGATACTTACACACTCAACCATATACAACATACTGCGTTGAATTGAAACTTCCACTTGACGGGTACTCTCTCTCTCTCTCTATTTTACTATACTTTGTATTCATTTTGCTGACAATTGTTTATTATTTTATTATCTTAAACAATTGCTGAAGTTAAAATATAAACGCTGACTGAGTCTGAGTTAATGAACAATACAAAAACCGTTTCCATACAGCAAATGTACCAGCATTTTAAATTGTAACAAATCGGATGAATCATATATTCGTTTTAAATGTAAAAAATTCGGTGAGTTAAATATTAACGTTGTGGAAGTGCAAATTTGAAAGTGCACGCTTCAGCTTAAAAAATGCTATAAATAGTATTGATTATTATACCATTGGCTAATAATGATAAAAATACAAAGCGATAAATAGTAAAATGCGCCAGTTCCAAGTTCATCATAAAGAAGAAGAAGAACGACATGTAGAGATCACCGAAAGCGGTTATGTGTGTATGTAAAATAATTCGACACATTCGTGTGTATACATACATACCCATACAAAAATCATACAACAACAACAAAAAAATCAAACTACATATCACGCATACAAACAATTTGTCTCGCATTCAGTGTCATATACAACAACTAAACGAAGCAAATAGGGAAAAGATCTGGCGACAGCGACAGCGACCGCAACAGCATAACAAAAAGTTGGCTCATCGTCATATTATTTAGCAATCAGCCGATAGAATTTTTTCCAGTTTACCACAACGTTTTGAAGAGTGCGGTTGTAAACGGTAGCACTTATATTTAAAAAAAAAAAGACACGGATTTTCTGTAAAATATCGCAAATCGTTAACTTCACTCTAGTTCGAAAAAAATATATATAAATAAATCGGTGTACCCTTTTAATGTATTTCAAATGGATTTTTTTCGATATTTCAGTTTTAATACATAACCAATTGCAGTCAATTGATTTATTTTATTTTTTCGGTTTTTGGATGAAAAAAGACTAGGCAACGCATAAATAAAAAGTTCATATTAAGTGTTTGTCATTTTCCACTCTACGATTGCGATGCAACAAATCTCAAAATGTACTGACAAAGTTGATCTATTTAACTAAAATTGTCAAGTGTACGATTATCATCGAATAAATGATCTTAATGAATAGTAATTTATAATGATTAGATCTTTATCTCAATTTTGAATGATATATTTTTTGTTGAATTCTTAAGTATTATTCGACGGTATTACATTGAAGCGCTTCTTAATAATTTGCATCAAATTTCTACGCCGGCGAAAAGCAAACGTTTTGTTATTCTATCAAATCATATAGAATCATTTGCAGTGTCTATATTTCATTCAAAACGCAGAAAGGAAAATCAACTAATATACAAAAAAATGGCTACATCTTTAATAAGTTTAATAGCAGGTATGAATAATTTACATTTTAAACGTATTGTTGCATTGGTTACTCCACCGTCATACGTCCTCAAGGAAAAAATTTAAAGGGGGGGTAATTGAAAAAAATCGAGAGGGGTAAGCAAAAAAGTGAAGTGTATTTTGCGAAAAGTGTACCTTTTTCGTTTTTTTTTTTTTTTGCTCCTCACTTTTTGGGCGAAAATCCCTAGCAAATTTAAAGAATTTTTCCTACGTTGAAAACAATAGTGAGGAGCAAAAAAAAAAAAAAAAGGTCCTCACTTTTTTGGCGAAATTCCCTAGCAAATTGAAAGAATTCTTTGAAAATTTTGACACTTCGTCAGGGGGGGGTAATCGGACCCCTCGGACCCCTGCTGAGGACGTATGTCCACCGTTCGGAATTCAGTCAGCAAAATCCTTGTGGTAGTTGCAATTGAATATTATGGCATGGTATGATTCTTGTTTCATTAGTTCAATATCACATTGAATTTGGGTCAACGAACAAATATACAATCCTTTTTTAAATTACATTTCAATCAATGTGATATCAAACACGGCCTATGTTTTTGAACTAGAAACAGTTTCATCGCATTTTATTTTAAACAGAGGATATATTTTATTCAGATTGTTACGTTTTTTCTGTTTTTTGGAACAATTTTCTTCGCTCCTAAATATTCTTTAGGAATATTCTACTTCTCTCAACGTTTCCTGAAAAACATACACAGAGAAAATAGCCTTATATTAATTAACGAGTCTTTAATATTGGGAAAAAATTTTTTTTAACTGACATTTAAAATAAATATGACCATGTCTCAGAACATAATCGTCGGAAAATTGAACATTTTGTTTGGATTCTTTCTCATTGTTTTGTGTCAAGTTCAAGTGGATTGTTTGCGTATTATGCATTTCAACTTTATAAATATATCTGTGAATAGACCAATTTTCGTTTATAGAGCCAATCATTGAACATATGGCATTCTAGTGCATTTTCAATTTCAATTTTCACACAATTTTAATTTTCCATAGAGCTACGTAGTTCCACCAAAGTAAAGCGGCTATATATATCTAGCAGGCTGAACAAGATCTTTTTGCATATAAAGTTGTACACAAAGCATATGTTGCTACTTCTTCGGTGTAGTTTTTTGCGTTTGCCACTTACTAAATTCATTGCTGGTTTGATATTAAAAAAAAATCATTCCCGAAAAGTAATTTCAGTAACTATCCATTTGATTTGATAGGCAAATTTTATAAACAATTTGATTTAAGCAAGTCATCAGAGGCTAAAAGATAAGTATCTCCTGTATAGAAGCTTTTCATAAGGCCTTCCCTCAAATCTTGGCAAAAAAATTGAATTCAACACAGTTGAAGGGATACATATTTTTGCTCCCACTATTTTTAATAGACATTTCCCTTTCTAAATCGTATCCAATTAGATCGATACGTGTCCTGTAGCACCTCTGTATTTATTGAAATCCCGAAGAATGACTCGATTGAGGGAAGAGACGCCGAATGTTCTTCTCTCTGTCCAAGTATAATTTGCCATCTCTTCGAAATAAACGTTAATTTTCACACCAAAAAAGGCCGGAAATTAATGCATACTCCCAATAAATTCAAAAATTGCATGCATACTTTACTCAAGAGATATAATTTTAGTGGCGACTTGTGGCAATTGGCACGTATACTTATTTGAACCACTGAAAATAAGACCAATTGCACCGCTAATCGAACATGTCATTATTCTTTATCCCTCAGTTCATGCAAACATTTTCAACATACCACCAAATAATTTAAATCAATACAGTTGACAGTTTTATTATTTACATATGCAAGAAAAAATTCAGAAAAAAAATAATAGACTACTTTTTCAATGTATAAACAGTCTATCCATTTCATTGAATGTGTTATGGCTTCAAAATGAACAATTTGACCACAAATGTAAATAATAGTCTCTATTTTAATGATTGCTTTTGAAATACATGCCAACAAATTTCATGCTATCTTGTCCAGTAATTTTCGCGGTAATTTTTCCATTCAATCAATTTGGTTTTTTCATTGACTAGTTTCGGACTTGTTTTTGCGCTATTTGACCAGCCTATTAAATGTGAAAGAAATTTATGTGTTTGTGCAAAAAATAATGATTTTTTATTTTTAAATTTTGTGTTATTTCGGTATCAATTTTTCAATTCTTTTTGATTCATTTGAATTTGTCAATTAAAATAATTAAATAATTATATTTCTTTCAAACCTGTCAAACTTACCAATTGCCACCTTCAATTTGACCTGAACAAAAGTCGACAAAACCAATAATTTCAAACATAATACAAAAAACACTTATACAAATTTGCATTTATTTATTTGTGATCTAAGGCAAGTCCTTACATTGTTAAACATGATTATTTATAGAAAAGAATAAATATCTGTAAGAGACTACCATTTCTATTATTTTTTTGCCACTTCATATTTGAGTGATCAAAGTCAAACTTCAATGCCAATTGAATGTCAACGAGTTATTTTTTGAAAAAGATATTAAATTCGCAAATGTTTTATTGAAAAAATTGGCTCAATCGTCCTTTGTGCACTTTGACTCAAATTAGTTTGATAACAATGTCAAACGACGATCTTTATTGAATTAAACATCTCAATTTCATGTAATGATGATTAGTAAAACAATGAGAGATTGTGCACTGAAAAACATGATATATTTACTTGAAAATGGGATCAATTACTTCATTAATGTACAATCTTTATGAAAAATATTAAACCGTTCTCCCATTTAAATTTAAATCATATCATTGATTCGGTTCTAGATTTGTTTTACTATGAGGATGTTCATTTCATATATGCATAAGTTGTATGTTGAATGAATAATTTTTGATCGATTGACGTAGCAGTAGTTAAGTAACCGAAAGCAATGAGGAACTTTATTCCAAAAAGATTTTTTTTTAAATTTACCGAATGATGTTTTGGTTAGCTATATTTAGCATTCATTTCTAAATTTAACTTTTTACGGTTTGTTGTTGTTATCACTGAGAAATAAAAGTGCATTTCCATCAAATAAAGTGCCCATATGTGTGATAGAAATGTTTGTATTTTAAACAAGATTTCAAGATTCTTGTTGGGAACAAAGTCAACAAAAAAACAAAACACACTATATATGAAGAGACATATTTGTCTGGTGCTGTCAAGCTTGTTGGATTTCATGAACGTGTATTTTGACAGTGAATAATTGTTGTGTTTTAAAATCGTTTAGCATATTTTCTACGCAATTTGATGCACTTACCTAAAAGTATGATTGATTTACATTTTCTTTTGATTTTTTTTTTTGTTTATCTGCATGTGGTTTTATGCAGCGCTAAATATATACAATTTGAATAAATTGATAAATTGTTTTGAGTAAAAGTAATGTCGATGATTTTAAATCAAATTATAACAACTTATTCTTTGTATCGAATATATGACGAAGCATTTTTAAATTGCGTTCAGTTCAATGGAATTTTGTTAAAAAGAATTTCCTGTGAAATGTATTGATTACATATTCGCGTGTCGTATTGTCACATTGTTGTATCAATCGTGACGGTTTGTTTGCGCCGGTTTAATGACAATGACATACCAAGTGATAATACTTATATTAAACTCATTGCTTGAAAATTGTACGAGTATCTTTCATCTTCATTTTGTTGTCGATCGCGAACATTGCATATGATGAATGATGATTTTTCAATCGAAAAATCGAAATATGCGTTGAAATAAAATGATTTATGAGACAACAACCTCACAAATAAAATTAAATAAGTAATGACATTTTGTTCGTAAAATTATTACATCTTCTTGCGTTCTTCAAATTTATCATTTAATTATCAAGACTTTCGCTAGCAAAATCAATCCACAATTGTCAAATGTCTCATAAAATATTGAGTTCAGTTCAAATGAATGCATCGGAGCCGTCATGTGACAATAAAGCATTTAAATGTGTGATTGATTCAATGATGGCATCAAATATGTAGAACATTGACAAAATTAGATCAAATCCAATCATTTAATTAAATACCCCGATGCATTTAGATAAAGTCACATGAGTCTAGTAAAATTAGTTACAATTGAGCAACGATATCTTCTTTTTTTTTTTTTTTGAAAAAATCGCATAAAATTTTCCAAAATAAAACTTGATTTTGCGGTCAGCCTTAACATTATTATATTTAGGTAAAGTGCATCAATCATGTGACACACGTTTAGTCAACAAATATTGAATGTATCAGTCCAAAGGCAAACAAATCATGTTTTTGTGGAATCGTATAAGAATTTTTCGCCGCAAAAAAAATGGTCGTGTTATAATCGTTATTTAAAATTATTGAATGTTCAAAAATAATTCAAATTATTTGCCTCGCAGCATATCGTACATTCGAAGTTCAATAATTTGAATGAAACCAAAGTCCACGTTTCCAACCAAATTATAATTTATAATTTCTACAACATGTAACCAAATGATTGACACTTTGAATCTGCTTTTGCTCAAACTTTTACACAATCATCACAACGATATATACATAAGTCACAAGAGATAGCAATACATTGTGATATTAGATTGAAATTGCGTATTATCGTTTATGAAATTCTGCTGGTGTATCACTTTTCCACCACTTTCCACTTTTTAAATATGGCATATTTTTAACAATTCCACAAGTTGTAATTTAAAAAAAAAAAATTTAATTATTTTCCTTTAATTTCAGTCTTCACAATTGTTCGTGCACAAGATTTTGGATATGAAGGTATTAAAGGTAAGCCAGATTAAAATGCTTTTTATTCATTTTTAATCAGCATTATTGAAATTCATCATAATTTCATGACAATAAAAAAAAAAAATCAAAATAGAAATGTAGTTATAATTTAAAATGCAATTGATTTCAGGTCCAAGCCATTGGGGCGAACAGTACAATTCATGTTTTGGCAAATTTCAAAGTCCGATCGATATCAATTCGTTAACAGTGAAACATGCTAAATTGCCACCCCTTATATTTAATGATTCAAATGTGCCAATTAGCAAAACAGTTATGAAAAACAATGGACATACAGGTAAAATGTTTTGGATTTTTTAAAATTTTATTTATTAGAAACATAGAAATAGAATTTTAATTTCGTTTTGATTTGATTTCAGTGATGGTGTCAATCGATTCAGATCAACGACCAACAATTTTTGGTGGCCCATTAAGCGGAACGTATGAGTTTGCTCAACTACATTTTCATTGGGGTGAAAACGATACAATGGGAAGCGAAGACTTCATCGATGGTCACAGGTAGTATTTCATTAAATATTTAATGGGCAACACAAAACCACTCCAATTATATCTGACATTTGATTCATTGCAGTTTTCCAATGGAGTTGCATATGGTTTTTTACAAGAAACAATATCGAAACGTTCGATCGGCTATGGAAAATTCAGACGGTTTGACGGTTTTGGCATTCTTCTTTCATGTTAGTGCAAACCAACATATTTTACATTTTCAAATTTTTTAAAACAATTTTCATCTCCTTCGATTTTGTTTGGACACTTCAGTTGGACGATGAAGATAATAAAAATTACATCGAAATTACTGAGCTACTCCCAAATGTGTCCGAGCCAGAAACATCAACTACCTTTACCCGCTTAAAATCACTCAAAGATTTGATATTAAACGATCTCAACGAATATTACACATATCATGGATCACTGACGACGCCACCATGGTTTTTATCTTTCCTTTTTAATTTAATTTTTCATTAAGAAATTATCGGAAATTAATCGATTTTACTTTTTGATTTTGCAGTAGTGAAGTTGTCACATGGATCGATTTTAAGCGATCAATTCCATTGTCACATGCACAGGTAAGGATGAGTTTCAAAAATGAATCATAAAATGTATTTCATTTTTTCAAAAGATGGAAGAGATGCCAGATGTATTGGCACAGTTGCTATTTACTTAGTTCATTCGATAACGCACGCATCGACGGTTTTTCGTGCAATATCATTGCTTACGTTCGCTTCAGATGTGTTCCTTATTTGAAAAACAATTTAGCATATCAGATGAAATGAGATATGCAAATGCCGTCCTGCTATGAGTTCATGGAACAATTTGGAATTTTAAGAAATTCTTCTTTTCTTCTTCGTTTTTTTTTCCAAACATTTATAAAGCGCTTCCCGGTTTCACCAATTTCTACAAAAAAATATTTTATTATTATTATAATTGCTGCAAAAATCTTAATTTGTGTCCTTGGTTGGATTTGGATATTACCTAACAAATTTTTGGTTTTTGGACCATTTGATTAGGTCACTGTTATTTATCGGCAAAAAATCAAAAATCTCTTGACAACGAATCCATGTGACAAACAATATTTATTTCTATAAATACAAATCAGACATGTTAATGAATTGGTTCAATAGACAAAGAAAACAAATCGATTATTATTTGCTTATTATCACTTATATCGAATTTAATTAAGCTAATTCACATCTTATTCGTTTTGGATTTTGTTTTGCTTCAGATTGAGGTATTTCGAACGATTCAAGACAATGAAGGGCATCATCTAACTCACAATTTCCGGCCTATTCAACCATTAGGTGATCGCGATGTATACCTAATAACAACACTTGATGGTGACGATGGTCTTTTTGGAAAAGACGATGCACGAATCGATGAACCGCCACAAAATTTGGATCATATCAATTCAGAATACAAACAAAGTACATTGACAGAATCAACAACATACAAAACAATTAATAATGGTGACAACAATGGACTTGACGACCATCCAATTCCTGAACAACGTCAAAATGATATTGAAACAACTACGACCAGCCATAGAAGACCATTCCACAGACCCAAAGGAAGTGATGCTAATTACATTGCTCAAGCAAATTTGTGCATTTTTATTAGCTTCTGTTCAATTTTACGGGCTTTAAGCTTCAAAATTTGAAGAAATACGGGGTATCGGCATAAAATTTATATTTAAGATAAGAACATATTTAAATTTAATTATTTTGAAACAATGTATGTATTTTGAGATTACCTTTCGGTCATTTCTCCTGATACTGAGACTGGTAACAAAAACAAAGCTCAAATGTTAACGTACTTAAATGCCAGTGTGCAAATGAAAAAAATGTCTCCAGAAAAATATGTATATCAAACAAACAGTTTCGACATAACCTCAGAATGAATGGAAACAATGTCATCGAAACATAGTACGATTTTAATACCACAGTCTCCATAAATTTGTTTCTCTAAACGAAAAATGAAATTATTAAAAAATTATTATATTATTTTTATTATTATTATTATTGTTATTATTATTATTAGTATAAGAGATTTAAGTAATTAAGATTTTTATTTTTGTTCCAATTAAAAGTATGAAATAAAAATAAAAGCGGTAATGTTTACGAAAATCATATTTATTCGAAAATCTAATGTACATAAATGGTATACGGCAATTCCGATGCAAGGACACTTTATTGTCATTGTAAACATAAACTACGGCTGTTAGCGCAATTCGTTTGGCATAGGTGAACTTAATTTTGGTCGAAATTTTCATCCGAAATGTCGTTCATCATTTTTGAAGTATCAGTATACTCAAATATGTAAAATAACATATGGACATCTATAGATAGGAAAAATTGGTCATTAAAAACAACTAATTATCTGAAATTTGTCAATTTTTGATGCTGAAAATGTTGATCAAACAAAAATCGAAAATGAAGCATAGAAATTTATATATTCCCAATACAATGGAGTCATTACTTTGAATACTTGATGTGTGCAAAGAGCTAACATTTTTATTCCCAACACATGGGTGCATCTAACCGCAAACACTATAGTTAAATCGAAATAAATTAAATTTAAACAAATTTTAAATGAATATTAAAATGAAGCTACAAACGGTAGATCTAATAAAAATAATCTAGCAATTCTGAGGCTAGAATCTAGTCATTATCATTACAGTTCCTAATATTCAATAAACGTATATTAAAATTAAACTTTTGAACGGTAATATATGCTTAAACTTTCGGGACTTTTCGTTTTGAAACAAGAGACTGGCTGTTTCTGCGATTCAAATCAAGATGGCGACATTTTGGATCAAACCACACAACAAAATTTCGGTTGTATTAAAAACTTTTTATGCACTGAGCTTTATTAAGCTGCCATTTGAATTCCCATGTATTTTGTTGTGTAAAAACATTCAGTTAAAAAACGAATTTGATAAACAATAACAAAACTGTACACTTGACCAAAATTACAATATATACGACCTCTCATTCAAAATGTTTACTGTTGCATGCACGTAGAAGTTAACAACATCTGTGATATTTATGTTTCAAATGTGACTTATAATATTTTTCTACTTTGTAAATGCACAAAATTAACAAGATCACGGTATTTTAAGACTCGGTCATCAAAACTGTGAGTCATAATACCAAAATTTTGATTCCAAAAGTCATTTTCATTTTCAGTTGTGGTTTGATTTCATCCATATTTTCATTGATACAATTATTATAAAATATGCTGGTCCATTAGCACGTAACGAGAGTACCTCATTAGTTATTTAGCAAATGGTGTTTGTTTTAAAAATTAGCATGTTGTTAATTGTACTCGTACTACGATTACTAAAAAAACGTATTTTGGTAAGTCAACAGCGGAGCCAAAAACAAAACATCCGCGCAGTTAACCGTGTATACAATTGATTATTATATAACAATTTTAACGGTTGTCCATTTGACAAAACAAATTTATTTTTGTTCGTTTTTCAAAAAACAAACGTTTTTACAGCAACATTCGTAAACAAAAAAAAAAAAAAAAACAATAACAATACCACCTCATAAAATGATTTCATGCAATTTATTGTAAGTGCGTTAATTGATTTCACCATAGACGATGTGCAAAGCGAATCGAACATTGGCGCCATTAAGGGCGTATCAAATAGATTCGTGGGTCCGGTCCTTTTTCACCTTATCGATTTCGCTGAAGAATTAAATTGCCTGCTTAGAAACATAATAATAAATCATTCAATCCACGGGAATACAAGCGGGAAGTGCAGTGTAAAAATGTATACATATGGCAATTTTTAATGTGTCCAATTGAAAAAGATGTCGACACAGCTGTATGATTTTATTTATGCTCTGCTCGTATTGTGCGCAGTTATTTTGTTAGAGATTGTGCTAAAATCAGCTTATACGTTGTATGGTATTCCAAAATTTCGGCTTTCACAATCGGCTCGACGTCTGTAATATACAAATTGCTCATGATCATTAGCCAAAAGAGAAACCGAAACATTTTTTTCTAAATGAAGATGACTGAATGTTTGAATGTAATAGCGAGCCCATCCTACGATGCGTTTTAAATTTTATGCGTGTTTAAGTTCGTAAGAAGAGACAATTTTTTTTACACCGAAACCTAGTATAGTTTATTGGAATGTTTATATTAGTGCAGACACTCCCTTCTCAGGTTTTTTTTTATTTTATTGTTTGCATCATTCAAAAGAACCGGAGAAAAAAGTGTGTGACATATTTTCACACTCAAATGAATTTAATACAGAAATATAACTGATAATTTATTGGTAAAACTGAATAAAAGTTGAAAATAGCAAATAAGCAAAATTAAATTGAGACGCATTTAATTAATTTTTACAAAATGTAAATGCGTCTGAAATAAATGATGACATAAAACTTATGGCTGATATTTCAGTACATCACTATGAAGATTTTTGATGTATGTTGAAGACATAAATGGCCAGCATTGTGACGACAAACAATCAATGTCCGTTAAACGGCGTTACAGCATGGAAGGGAAAAACAAAGATGATGTATATCAATGAGATGTAATCGTTTTTGGCAAAGGTGTGAACTGAACGGTGTTCATTATCATATGAAGCAAAAAGTAAGCTAGTTCGTTCGGTTTGGTGGTCATTATATTGATATAATAAAAGTATTGGTTGCGCATTTGGTCGTTTGTAAGTGTAGTATGTTAGTCTCGTGGTCACAATTTATTGCTTACACAGGTGAAAACCGAAGTTAAATTTATATCTGATGATGCAATGTATATGCCGACGTACATGCTTAGTTCGAAATTGAACCCAAAGTCTATATGCAAATAACGACACACGATTCCATGAGTTAAAAGTGCGCATACGAAACGCACACAATTTTAGGTCGTATTTTATGCTCGCGTCCGTATAAAGTAAGTAAATAGCCGAGTGATTTGAAAAATGAATTGTAGGTGTACATCGTATTGCTGACCCATTCTCCATTTCATTCGATGTGTGCACGTTACGTCGTTAAATGATCATCGGTCGCAGTGAAAAGCGATCTCCGCATACAATTACATTTTTTTACTCGCTTTATAACTTAAATCTTTTGTTCTTTGTATCGGTAAATCAGTGTATGACAATTGATCGCGTGCTTTTTACGTCTTTTTGTTTTTTTCTTTCTCAGTTTTTTTTTATTTTCATTTCTTTTTCTTGTGTATATTTTCGATATGAACTTTGTCTAGTCGAATGATCTGTGATGTGTTTTGATCATAATTAATTGTTTGTTTTTTTCATCCGTATTAAGTGGATATTTTAATTGAATAATGAAAATAAAATTCTTAGTAACACAATTGATTGATTCAACCGCATAGCGTTTTCGTATAGAATGACAGACTTTTATTATAAAACTCTGTCAACTACTGTTGTTCATTGTTAATGTAAGTCTCTTGAACGACACATAAACAACGATATACAAAGCCGAAAATTGAGAGGGAGAACCAGAAAGACTACAACGGCAGTACAGTACACGGATTGTTTGTGTTTACTCTCGCACTCGTCACCAAGAAGAAAACGAATCGTCGTGCGCGCATCACATACGAACACATTGAACTTGAAGCTGGAAATCAGTCAGCAATCAGTTATCATAGAACATACGACACATGCGTTCATTTTAAATCGAAATTTAAACAAGTGTTCGTGTTTCTTTAGCGTCTTTTTTTTAAATCAGTGAATTGTGAATTTAGTGTGAGTATTCAACAATTTAAATAAAAATTATATGTATATATTGAATCTTTTTCGAATTTTTTATTTGGAAGAATTATTAATCGACAAGGAAAAAATCGTTTAAACAAAAAAAAAATTATTTGACTACAAAAAAACTAAATTTCATACCCAAAAGTGAATTGAAATAAAAAAAAAACAGTTGCCTTTTTTTTCGTCGATATATTCAATCAGTGTACAAAAAGAGCGATAGAAAAAAGAGAACAACGAATCGAAAAACAAATGACACCACGTCGAAATGAATTTTTTTACTTTGGATTGAAAATCAATGTAGAATCGCTGCTGCTGACGTTATGTTAAACAGGCAATTAACCGTTTTAAAAAAATGATCTGTGCCTAACCGAGGCTATGGAATGCGAAGAAAATTTAACAGATAGAAAGTCGATTCATAGTATTTGAATAAATAGTCATGGCCCTCGAATTTGTTATCAACCGTTTAGAAATTGGACGTATGGAAGAAGAAAGTTTTTTTTAAAGAACGATATTGAGACCACATTTCAATTACTTAATCCAAGCTTTAGACACGTTATAAAAGTTATATATGACGTTGATTGTATTTATTATTAGTGGTCAATTCCGTTCAATTCCTTTCAATGATAGGGTATTTTTCTGGGCCATCATTTTGATTGGCATTAAAAAACGAAGCCATCAGATGAGTTGAGACTACCAAACTTTAAGAGTAAATATTTTATATAACATCATATACGATCATATATATTACGCACAATATCCGCTTTGGTTTTTACAATGAATAAAACAAATCAATACATTTTTAATTTTGCAAGTAAAACAGCGTGTTGAATGAAGCGTGTTAACTGAGCCCCTACATTATCAGAATTATTAGAATATTTGCAGACATTATAATGGGATATTTTCAGCCAGATGAATCAGCTCAGCCAGATATCGTCAGGAGCTGAATTTTAGTGAAAACAATAGAAGTGATTGTTATGGTTATAATTACATTGCTACAATCACTATAACAATCACTTTTATTGTTTTCACTACATTTCAGCTCCTAAAGATATCTCAGCTCTTGGCTGAGCTGATTCATCTGGATGAAAATATCTCATTATAATGTCTGAATATTTGAAGAGTTCTAAAACGTCGATTTGCTTTTTAATATGCAAAATGAATGTGTGTCGATGTGTGAAAAAACGGATGAACAAACATGACGTTTTTTCAATTCCTTAACGGTTCACATTGATGTTTTGTGAATGTCCGTGTCTGTTGACACCTCCAAATGTTGAACTTGTTAAAAAATTTTTTGTTAAAGTGCACGATATCTGTAAATTTACACAGGTACACAAAAAACAGTTAACAAGTTTTACTTTTTCAATCGCTTACACAATATTGTATTTTTGCAATTTTCAATGCCTGGCCATAAAATGATTTAATATAAAATTCTGGTATGAATACGATTTATTTGTATAGGTGTTGTGTTCAGACGATAAACTTAGTAAACGATAATAGCAAAAAAGGCATTGAAAAATGTGTTCACTTATTAGTGACACTTAAAATGGAATACTTTGGAGTAATCAAATAAATGGAGATGACTGATTCAAACTAATCACGAAAATGAAAATTTTAACACACACACGTGATTTCTAATTTGCACGGGCAGCGGTTGCAAATAAAATACTGTGTCGTCATTTTAATATCTTAAACATAAAGTTCTTGGCAATTCTATAATTACTTTGAAGTTTTAACAATAATTAATTGTGTTTCTTTCGAACATAATACAAAAATGAACATGTAGAAATCATCCGTGTATCAAGTTTATATATAATTTTTTTTATTTCGATTGGCATTTTCACCTTCTTCGTGTGCTATGAATAGATCATTATTTGTCCGAATGCATTAAAATGTGGATGTCATCCTATTTTTCATTTCTTCTTAAATTCCAATAAAAAAGTTTTATTGTCATCTATAACTTTTAAAGTCTCTATAGAGACTATAGTCAATTACGCACAATTCGAAACCATCGATTATTCGAATAGATTCGTTGAAAGGAAATTCAAATACGATGGTGTTTTTCATACTTTCTTTCTCGAATTTTGGCATCCATAAGTTTTTTCTTTCATAAATTTAACAATATAAACAGTGGAATTCAATCAATTTATCTTTATTATATTTAATAAGTGCTAATTAAAGATGAGACACTTTATGATTTTGCGATTGTGTGAAGTGATATGATTTAGATAATTGGTTTACGTGACGTCACAAATACATTAATCAAATGCCTTCACATATATGATTGTCAAAATATGATATAAACACGTATGTTTCCAACGTAAGAACGGGAAAAATTTATATTTTTAAATAGTTATTGCGTTGCAAATGAGTTGAAAAATCATACAAGTCAAACTTTTTCTGTTCGGGGCACAATACACTTGATGACTGAGAATAAAAATTGTTCATTTTTTGATTAAATGGAATACTTTTGACATTGGAATCTGTGAAATAAAGTTGATTCGATCGAGAGACATTGAAAAATTCGTTTCATTTTTTTGTAGTAAAACAAAACAGAATTTATTAAATGCATTTCACATATAAAATTATATTCTCAATGGTGGAAATTTACATAATTTATTTAATTTTTTATCACTTGTGTTATTTCTTCAAATATCAGTGATTACTTGGAAGAATAAAAAAACTATCGAATCCTTGAAAATCGTTGATCGAATAAAAAAAAATCGGCTGTATCTAAAAATTGGACTGAAGATGTATGGGACAATAGAGACGCAAAAAAAATAGAATTGATTTGAAATATGTGCAAATCATAATGAAATGACGTCTTTCGAATAGAATTGTTGAAAATGAATTCGTTCATGCGATCCAATTACACAGCCACTGCTTCCATCGTATTTACGTTAGAGCCATGAATTTGAACGTATAACATGTACAACTGCATTATCACTGACCGTGAATTTTTTTTTACTTTCGTAACCATACAAAAAATTTGCTGGTCAATCAAACTATGTTTCATTCACCTTTTTCATGCAGAGTATTGCTCAGCGCTGCTGCCATCCACAGCATATTAAAATATCTTGCTAAGAATGCGTCGTCCGTCGCATGCGAACGTACGTAGCAGTTTATACATCACAGCGAACAAGAATGAATCCATTGTTCTCTTCACGATTATGTGACTCAAAACATTCAAACGATTGAATAGAGAACAATGCATGTATTGTTATTCGCTGTGATGTATAAACTGCTACGTACCTTCGCATGCGACGGACGACGCATTCTCAGCAAGATATTTTAATATGCTCTGGATGGCAGCAGCGCTGTGCAAAACTCTGTTTTCATGTTTCACATTGCTTAAATCTGTTTAACCATGCATAATTTTAAAATGTCACTTTCATTCAATTGAAAATAGAAGTTCAAATTCCGAGTGAAAATATTTAACGTTTCAATGATGAATGTGGTTTTGATAGGAAGGTATAAATTTCGATGGTCTATATAGTATGATTCTGCTTTCAGATGTTGGAAACCAGTTTTCACAGCGTCGATCTTAAAATACATTTGTAAGCACACGTGCAATCAAAAAGTTCATTGATTCCATCGATTAAAAAGTCGAAGCATTAATGATTTAAAATATGCATATGAAGGGGACACAATCATGATACATCTTTTTACTTTTGTTTTTTTTACGTTTCAATTGTAAACAAAATGAAAAGAAGTCAAGTCATCGTGATAAGCATCGTATTAATATGAATGTAGTTTAGTCAAGCAATTTTGATGCGTAGATTTTCGTATACCTTCGAATGATTATGATGCATTTATAGAGAAAATGTTTAGTAAAAAAACGTATTGGTGTAATAATGGTTGCTATATGTGTCATTTTTCATCTCGTTTAATTCGTATTTTCTTTTTCATAAACTTTGCTTTTGACGTTGTCCACACGTGAAGTCCAAACGCTGAGTCAGTTTTATTACAAACACAAATTCCCCTGTTTTCCGAAGAAGAAAATATTACCCGGAAACTAGTATAAAACGTTATGGCTTTGATGTGACCATGCAAATCATGGATTTTTGTTTGTTTTATTAATATTATTACTTTTCCGCACACCTAGTGTAGGAAAGGTATTGTATTAGGCTAAAAAATTAAAGTCATCTCAAAACATGTTTTCTATGCATATTTAATGTACAAAACACGATTGGAGATGATTTTGGGGCATATTAATGTGCGTCGCTGTGTGTGATGTGTCCTGTGTCCTGTGACCTGTGACCTGTGTCCTGTGTCCTGTGGCGTGTTGCCAAAATTTGTTAACTCGATAAATATTTTTCCAAAAACTCAATTCAAATTCTGACTTTGCAGGATGATTTGGGACTACTAGGAGACGTGCTGATTAGTTTTCGAGCAATATCTGTTGACCGGTGTAATTTTTTTTGGTCCGAATGGAGTACCCACAATCCATACATTTTACTTTTTTGATCATTTTTCAACCATTTTGGTGACACGATGGTTTCGTGCCCAGACATGAAATTCAAAATCTGACTTTACGAAATGATTGGGCATTACGAGGAATAGATCTGGTCAAATTTTCAACGACATTGATTGATCGATGTAAAACTTAGACTGTGAAGAGGCACTTATGAGAAAAATGCCTTAAAATGATATTCTTTCAATTTGAACGCTGAAAGACTGTGTAGTGGGGGTTTTTTGCCACTAGAAACCCGAATCTGATGTTAGTTTTAAGATGCAATCAATTTTTCACAGACTTTTCATACAAAAATCCACAAAAAATTTCATTTTTGTGTGAAAGACATGCCTTTGTGGTACCGTAATGATGTGAAACTTTGAGCAGGCTATTTTTTTGATTGAAATTTCTTTATTGGTTTGATTATTTATTTTGATAAGAAAATAATATTCACAAGTTTTCATGGCAATTTAAGTTACTGCAACCATACATAGACATTAATTTCAGTTTATTCCCAAAATTTCGGTTCCATGCGGAAAAGTCAGCTTGCGTATGTAAGCCGCTTTATTATATTCAAATTTGAACTAAATTTTAAATGTGTCATACTTATGATGATCTTTGTTTTTCATTTAATCTTTTGCCAACTTTACAATTATGAAACGCAGTAGCGGCTGAAAGACGAATAATTTTTTAAATGGCGCTAAATAATAATGAAATTAGAGAGCCGACTCTATCAGAGTTTTATGCTGGGAAAAATATTTTCATTACTGGTGGAACTGGTTTTTTGGGCACCGTTTTAATCGAAGCACTATTAAGTTCAACACCAAAAATTGGAACGATTTACCTGCTTATACGCGATAAATATGGCTCAGACACACGCGAACGCATCAAGCGATTATTGTCAAAACAAGTAAATATGCTTCTTTTTTTTAAATTGACGTCCCTGTGATTCATCAATATTTTTCCGTTGATTTTGCTTAGATTTTTGAATCCCATACCGAAGAAACGTTAAAAAAAATTGTACCAGTCGTTGGTATAATGGATGCCGAGAATATGGGTTTTGATGATGAAACATTATGTGAATTACGAGAAAATGTGAATATAATTTTCCATGTAGCTGCCACCATAAAATTCAATACACATTTACGTGTTGCAATTCGAACAAATTTAACTGGAACATTGCGTTGCATTGAATTTGGCAAAACTCTTCGAAAATTGGATGCATTTATTCATCTGTCGACGGCATTCTGTAACAGTAACTATGGCGGTTTGATGGAAGAAAAAGTGTATACACCAGTTCAGGATCCATACGATATGCTGAAAATGGCTGAAAACGATGATGCTTGGAATGATATTAAAACACGAGCCGATTGGTTACACATAACGAAAGACCATCCGAATACATACACATTTACAAAGCAATTAGCTGAAAATTTAGTAATGAAAGAGTTGACTGGGTTTCCTGCGGCAATTGTGAGACCTTCGATCGGTAAGTTGTTCGAACACATTCAGCGAAAACTAAGTGAACCGTTTGAATTTATTTTTCTGTTTATAGTGTATGGAACGTACGAGTATCCAGTTCAAGGTTGGGTAGGCAATGCAAGCAGTGGTCATCTTGGATTCTTTGCTGGCTATTACAAAGGTGAATATATCTCTTTAGAATGATGTCGACAATTATTCATGTGAATTATTTTCAGGTTTATTCCGTACAATTTATGGAAATTCACAATCAAAGATCGATCTTATACCAGTCGATTACACGATAAACGCTTCACTTGTGCTAGGGTGGTATGTTGGAACGCGAAAATTAGAATTGCCCGAAGTAGTTCATTCGACATCGGGCGATGTGAATCCCATAACAGTGCAAGAATATGCTGATATTATAAACGACCGTGTCCGGGTGAATCCGAGTTTAAAAATGGTCTGGGTTCCATTTGCAAAAATTCGAAATGGCCTCAGACACACCGTTTTCTTTTACTTGTTCCATATATTACCGTGTATGCTTTGGTATTGGCCCGAAAAATGGCTTGGTCTTGGTGTTCGCCATCACACGTAAATAAAATTAATTTAATTACATTAGTAATGAAAATAACGTGATATTTCTCTTTGGCAGGAGTTTGGAATTTATGCGTGTATTTGATAAGGGCACCAAAGCTTTTCACTTTTTTTTGAATAAAAATTTCCAATATTCCACCAAAAATGCGCAGAGAATTTCATCAATGATGCATCCAAAAGATACCGTCCGATACAAATTCGATGCCAGCGAACTCGATTGGAGTGAGCTTCTGGAACGTAATTTCTTAGGAGTGCGCCGGTACTTCTATCGAGAGAAAGGTGACACAACGAAATTACATGTCATCGTTTATGCTATGTAAGACATGAATTGTTAAGAATAAGAATGTAGCCGTTTTGTTTATAAATTTGTTTATTTGCTCTTTGCAGATTTCAAACATTGCACTACATTGGATTAGCGACTATGATATGTCTATCGTATATACTATTCTGTGGAGTTGATTTTTTGTTTGGATTTGACTCATCAACACCCTTCCTAATGAGTCTAGGATTACTTCTTGGTAGCTTTTTAATTTGGTTATAAGTACTTTAATTCGAACTAAAGTAATCATATTCTTACTTGGAGAATTATAAATGTTATTGATTATTGTGTTCTCAGTTGAAGAATTCCATGTAGATAAAGCTGAATTATTTGCTGAAACTTCCATTCGAAATCATTAGAATTTAATATATGTATTTAAATTCAGCGAACGCTTTTTCTCTTTCGAAAATGTAAAAAGATATTTGAAAAAAAACCGCTTTATCAAAAATAAACAAAAAAAGTACAAATCTTTGGAAGGATTACATATTGAATTCAAATCATATTTAAGCCAAAATAATAATAAAATTGTTCACTGTTTTTAAATTTTATCATAATGAAAGCAGCCAATCGAAGCCAATATTGAAAACAATTTAAATGTTTTTTAAGTTATAATGCATCTTCTATATTCAAAGATTATTTTTGGCTACCTATTTTAAGATGGCGCTGCGTCAAATTCACGTTGAAATAAATCAGTCGATATTGTTTTATTAAACAGAATAAAATGTGAGTGATTTTCATAAGGTTGCTCAAATAAATTAGTAAAAAAGAGGTTTTTAAACATTGTCGGCCTAATTTATAGACTTTCTCCAGTATTTTTCTTCACCAAAAATGAGTTTCCATCGCAATTTTAACGATTGAAATCGACAAAACTTCTTTTCTGAAATTAAAAGATTGAAAACGAATGAATCTCTTTACATATCGTTTATGCAATATTGTTATAATATACAGAAAATTTCGTAAAAAATCAAAATAAATACGTATAATGGAAAAATAAAAATGTATTTGAATTAATTTGATGTTTACACTTGAAAATATCAATAAAAATAGCGTAATTTTTGGCACCACTGGGAAACCTTGCCTTTCGGTTATTTTCACTGAACAAATAAAAAGAAAAATAGTATAAATTTAGTTACTTTGTTACATGAACAAATAAATTAGCAATTTTTGATAGCACATTTTTCTTCGTTCTTCAATTCACTTTGAAAACAACCAAAAATACTGAAACTCAATATTCGCTATTTTTTTCTTCTTTTTTTCATAAAAAAATGATCCAATCGAAATGACATTTTTATCTCGATTTTTGTTACAGATTTCGTTTAAAATGCAAATGTTAATACAGAAAAAATAATAGACAAAATGCTTTGCGTCCGAGTGTTATTTTTGAAATTTATACAGATGATTTTGTTTTTTCGCCTCAAGTACATGGCATTTCCGTTACATAATGGAACATGGCATTGCGCAACATAGAGGCAAACATACAGGAACGACAGCCCCACCAGATTTACTAGCTTTCTTCGACTTGCTCTCGGCTTCATACTCATACTTCCCACTTCCTTTACCAAATCCACCCTAAAATTGGTTAAAGTAGGTTTTTTTTACAAAAAAAAAAAAAATATTGAAAAAGGTAATACTACTAAATCGTATCATGACTACCGAATTTCTACTTACTCCTGCTCTTAGTGCGCCTTGAGCTTCACTTTTTGCAAATAGCTCTTTACCGGGTGGATAGTAGACAGGTGCTCCTGTGACATTTTTAGATGGGGCATTTTTGTTTGTGGCCAATGCGGTATTAATCTCTTTACGCGGTACGTATGGTTCTTCATCAACGTTCACATTCTCCTATTAAAAATATTTAAAATTATCAACTTTTTTGACCGACCTAAAGTCTTTTTACTGTTTCCTATTGAAAGTGAAAAATAATTGTTTACCTCTTCAAATGTAGCCATCAATTGGTTCAAGTTCTTTGGTGGTTCATCGACTTGAGTTTGGTGAATGCCATCTGTTGGGAATGGGCCAAGGATTGGTTCTCGTTCAGGTCTATTGTGTGTATTTGTGGTCGTGGTGGTTGATGAATATTTATAATATTTTTCAGTTTTCGGTTCAGGCGGTGGTGGAGGTTCATACAGTGTGTTCGTTGTGTTGGTCGTTTCCTTTTTATACAAATATGTTTGCTTCGTGCCTGGTGGAAGATTGTCGTTTTGGCTCACGTTTTGGGTGTAACTTGTGATGCCACTCGGTGGATGGAATACATCGTTTGTCTTTGTTTCATTTCGTTCATACCATGTAGTCGTGTTATTTGATGGCGGTAGTGGTGGTGGTGCGTACACATTATTTTTTGTTTCGTTGACTTCTTTTTTGTAATAATATTTCGTTTGATGTGGTCCGACCGTGTCTGGGATTGGTGGAATTATTTGTTTCGATGTGTTGCGCGTTTCACTTGAATAAATCGTTTTTTTCGATCCAGGTGGAGTTCCACTATCTGGATAGTAGGTGTTTGATGACTTTTCCGAATTATAGTACTCATTTTTGAACGTTAGATTTTCTGGCACCTTTGTATCGTCTGGGATTTGGTATGAATAAGTTTTAATCTAAAAAAAAAGAAGTTGTTAAACATCCTGAAAATAATCAATTTATTCTGTATGTGTTTTACTGTTGTTGTGACTTTGGTGCCTGGTTGTGGTAGTAAATCACTCGAAATTGGTGCATTTTTCAATTCAGCCGGCAAATCAGTTGTATCCATTTCAACAATTTCCGTTTTAAGTGGTGTAGCATTTCGTGTAGTTGAGGTAGTCTTTGAATAATTATAGGTACGTGTCGTTGTTGCCTTTGGTATAGAATCCAATACTGGTTCTGTCTCAAATTTAACCTCACGCGTTAACTTTGGACTTTGATCAAATTTGTCGAATTTAATCTCGTGTTCCTTTGGAGTTGGACTTTGACCACGAATTCTCGACTCATTCATGACTTTTCTTACCAAAGACGGTGAACCAAGTACCGAACGATTTGACGGCTTCACATTATTGTCCGTCGTTGTGGTTTCCGTTCGAACTGTTTTTACTCCGTTTAAGTGGGGTTCACTTTGTGAATGCAAAAGAAATGTATATTATATGTAAATATTTAGAGTAATGTTTATAAATTTTTACTTACAGCAAACCAGAATCGATTCCAACATCTATTTTAAAAGAAATCGAAATATTGGATATTAGTCAGAAAATTCGATAGTTTTATAAAAAATGGTCTTACCTTTTTCGGATGCTTTTGATGACAAATGATTGGTTGTTTTGGTTAAGGTCTTCTTTAGATCGGCAAGTAAATTGTCTGAAAAAAAAAAACAAAAAGATGACAAATTTAAGTGAATTTTTATCATAGAGATGAGAATTTAATTTATCTATTTTTTCAAAATTTTTACTTCTCCATTTTCGACAAAGCGACAGAATTTCAAAATAAAACTTCATGTACTCTTTGTACCAAAATTGATGATAGAATTTTCAGACTTACCTGGTTTATTGATATCGTAGTCTGTAATTTTCGTACTCGTCATATTTCCTATTTTATTCGCAATGATAGTCATGAAAATTCAAGCATAAAAAGTAAAGAATTATTTGATGGATTTTTATTAAGAACATTTATCATTTGTACAACATGTGAAAGTGTAAAATATCTATTTCAATATGCCAAAATATGAAATAAAATTCTGAATAATCTTCTGAGAAGAAAAGGAAGAACCAACTAATGTGTCTTGCTCTTCAACTAACTTCTAACAATTGATCTGAATGACTTTATTTTAGAAAACAAACTTCGTTTTCGTTTTTAAATCAACAATTTTCAAGCATAACGAAAACAAAAACATTTATTATTGTTTTTTCAAGTTACACAACCTTGAATTTCAACATAGTAAGTTTGAGCTATACTGAATGAGCGTGTACGTTACAGTGAATAATGCACAACGTTCCGACCACGCATCTCTTTTCATACGCATGCCAAAAAGTTTCTAATTTTAAACAGACAGTAAAAACGCCGAATACTATTGCTGCCATAAATTTAACAAAAAAAAAAAACACACACACACAAGATGTGAACATAACAAGAAATGAAGACGAAACATTCATTTCATTCTATTTACACATTAAAGTAAATACGCCAAGTTATGCATTTGAATTTCAATTTCAATCATTACTTTTGATTTAAAGACATTTAAAAATGAACTCTTTCGGGTAAAATCTTCATAATCTCCAGAATGAGCAATTTTCAATGTTACACTCTTCAATAATTCATATTATTCACTAATCACTATACTAGAATTGATAATATGCAACCGATCATTCGAAAAATAATACAACGAACATTCGATGTGTGAGACTCTGAAAAGTTCAGGTGAATCCAAAAATGGAATACACAATCTTTTATATGCAACAACAACAACAACACTTAAAATATGCTGGAGTCATGCATTTACTACATGTTTCGTGCATGTCTTTGACAGTTGATTCGAGCGCGTTGTTATTTTTCAATAAATAAATTTTCATGGCAGCATGGTATCATTTGAACTTGACTTCGTTCACATAGTAGTTACGTTCATTCAAAAAGGGGTGTTCTAAAAATGTCCATTGATTTCAACGTAGTGTAGCATTTACAATTTTATGATTTTTGAGTTTTATACACTGTTTGAAAATACAATTTTAAATGCTCAATAAATAAATGTTCAATAAATTCGGATTCTATTAAAGAAATGAATGATGTATTGAAGTAAGAATTTGTAACATAAGTATAGTTAATTCCAAAGTTTATCATCATTAATTTGCGTATTTGTTTATAAATTTCGTTTAATATTAAATTGACCATTTCCAGTGCTTAAAAAGCACTTATTTGCCGTCAATATAATCCACATTCAATCGCCGTATATATCAACTTGGGAAAAACACACAAAAGTTTGCTCATTATTATTGGTCATCAATTTAGATCACTTGAATTTGCATTTGAAACACGTATAATTATAGAATCACAACTATGGCACTCTTCAAATAGAGCAGTATGGTATGATGTAATACCATTGATTACTCATAGTTATTCGAATTCTATGCAAATACACAATAATGCTTTAGGATGTTGTTTTTCCCTACTTTTTCCAATAGTTTTGGAGGCAACCAATTGAACTGGCCGCAAAATATTTGTTCCGTTTTTTTATTGAAATATGAGAGAATTTCGCAGTCATTTTATGTATTAATATGACGTTATCGATTCATTTTAATATACATAACAGTTTTAATGTTTCATGGACGCACATGTGTTAGCTCATTAATGTGTGGGCAAAACATAACAACCAATTTAAAATGGTAGTTATGTGTTTACATCCAAAAGTACTACCTTGTTTTTCTCTTCAAGGTTTTTGGACCATCCAAAAAACAATTCCGCAATAAAATCATGTTAAAATTTCTAGAAAATAACATTCTCTCTTCAATATTTTATGGAATCTTTTGAGATTTTTCTGATTTTGACATTTTCTTAATTTTCCCATAAAAAAGGGCAAAATTATATTTTTTACTTCGATGTGAAGGTGATGCAAGAATTCCTTACTGTTTTTTCACTATTGTTATTTATGCGAAAGAAATAATATCCGGCGCACACTACCTAGGGGGTCAAAGTACCCGATTGGGCTCAAACTTCACACAATTTTAGTGATTAATTAGTGAAAATTTGTGACGCAATTTTTAGAATTTGTGACGCTTCAGAAAAAAAGTTACAGGCCTAAATTTGAAAAAGCCTATTCATCAAAAAGTCTATAAATGAAATTTTGAAAAATTCGGAATAAAACAAAATTTCAAAAAACTAATGATGCAGTATTTTAGTGATTAATTTGTGATTTCCAAAAATATTTTGAAAATTTCGATACGACATCTGGCGAACATTTTTTGAACAAAAAAGTGAAAATTGCGCAAAAAAGAATTATTATCGAAATTTCGAAAAGGCTTTCAATAAAAACAACCGTAATCATAAAAATTCTTCGACACAGATTTAGTGACCAATTTGTGACTCTCAAAAATGTCATCATTTGAATTTGTGACACACTTCTTTAGACAGAAATGTCAAATTTTCGATTTTCATACTAAAAGTCGAAAATCAATGAAATTTTTGAAAGCGAACACTTAGATCCAAATAAAAGGTGTCATCTTTTGGTGACCAAATTGTTACTCTCAAAAATGTCATCATTTGAATTTGTGACACAACGAGAGAGTCACAATTTGCTCACCAAAAGATGACACCTTTTATTTGGATCTAAGTGTTCGCTTTCAAAAATTTCATTGATTTTCGACTTTTAGTATGAAAATCGAAAATTTGACATTTCTGTCTAAAGAAGTGTGTCACAAATTCAAATGATGACATTTTTGAGAGTCACAAATTGGTCACTAAATCTGTGTCGAAGAATTTTTATGATTACGGTTGTTTTTATTGAAAGCCTTTTCGAAATTTCGATAATAATTCTTTTTTGCGCAATTTTCACTTTTTTGTTCAAAAAATGTCCGCCAGATGTCGTATCGAAATTTTCAAAATATTTTTGGAAATCACAAATTAATCACTAAAATACTGCATCATTATTTTTTTTGAAATTTTGTTTTATTTCGAATTTTTCAAAATTTCATTTATAGACTTTTTGATGAATAGGCTTTTTCAAATTTAGGCCTGTAACTTTTTTTCTGGAGCGTCACAAATTCTAAAAATTGCGTCACAAATTTTCACTAAATAATCACTAAAATTATGTGAAGTTTGAGCCCAATCGGGTACTTTGACCCCCTAGGTAGTGTGCGCCATGATATCCTTCGAATACGGAAAATTTGTGTTTTCTTGAGACGATATGTGTAATTGATTACGATTATAACAAGATACAGGTGTCATTACATATTAAATATAATTTCAGTTTGCATAGGGAAACCCTAAAATATAACCAACCAAGGTGAGAAAAACATCTGTAAATTATCATACAGAGATGAACAACATCTCATGAAATGAAAACCGAAGGTTATATATTTATTTTTGGATTTGGTGATAGTTAGAAGTCTGTTTGCGATAGTTTCAGAAAATGTGCTTCTTTGTATGTGATTTAAAAACAAACCTTTTTTCCACTAATTATTTTTGAAAGGAAAATAAGTCAGTGGCTATGATGTGTTGACTTTTCACTTTTGTATGAGTTTTTTTTTATAGAATCTGTAGCAAAGACCGCGTTAAATCCCATTCGAATTAACGATTTGCTCAAGCTGAGAGTTAAGCATGGCCATTGTCACCGCCAACTCCATTCATGAAATTAAAATCGTAAATAAAGTGCTTCGTTGTGTTGAAACGGGCGTGCTACAAAGTAACACATACACGACGAATTGGTAGCGCCGATCGTGTTTAAGATTTGTTGAAAAATGTCTGAATGTTTTTGATCGGTGTGATGCGATTCAATCGGTATAATGCAAAATGGCATAGACATTGAGAGTCAACAAAACCCACGATGTCGACAAAGTTTGTCGTTTGCTGTTAGTTGATCACATCACTTCACAACCTACGATTTTTTTCTCTCTCTCAATATTTCACATTCATTGAACATATATTCAACATTTTATATTGACCAATTACAATTTTTTCTGTGACATCATAATCACATCGAATAAAAAAATGCCCAAATTTGCACAATCGATGAAGCATCCATTTATGAAAAAGGCGACTGGGATGAAAAATATCACATTGGTTTCTGCTATATTTTCAAAATGCCAACAAATATGCATTACATTTCAACAATAAGAAAAATGTTTAGTAAGAAATTGAGTCAATCGAACCGCATAAACACTATCGTATAGTGTGGTCAAGTTAAATTTGGCTCACCTTTTTTTCTATTGATCTTGTTTTTTAATCAAATAAACAAAAATCAAATTAAAATCCTCTCTGAGTGAATTAACCAAAAAATCAGGCTCACGATTTCTTTTATATTTCGCTGACACAAAACAGTGATTCACAATAGCTATCAAAGATTTATTATTAGATCAATGAAGATATTCTCGAGAAAGTGACGAAAATAAATTTTTACACTGAAATTAATCGATTTTTACAGACGAAAATTTCACAAATCCATCAAATGTTTCGAGTATTTATTTGTTTTGTGCGTTCTGAGACTCCCATCGGATCACCGAAATGTTACTGAACTTTTTTTTGATTATCGCGGCCAATGATCACACGCGTGATATATACAACCGTCCGCCGGAGTTATTCGAACTTGACTGAATAGAAGTGTGTTTTTTTTTTAGAAATGTGCGCTACTAATAACTATCGAATTTTATCGAATCGCCTGGTCTGCTAAATATGTTTACGGTTGTCGTTACTGCGCATTTGCGTTAGTGCATGCCCCCGCTTTTCCATGATTCAAAAATGAATGAATTTGTGATCAACCACAACGTTTACAAATACTGTAAACGATATGTCTCCCAGTTGACAGATTCATTGAATGAACCGCATATAAAAAAACACTTTATATTATTAAAGAATTCGTTCTGATTCTTTTTCTTTAAGAGATGGCTACTACAATTTTAAGTATGGGATCTTGTATCCTTTCGGACCAATTTGTACGCATCTAATAAGAGTAAACGAATTTGAACCGTGTGCAAAAATAAGTGGCTTACAATCAGTCAAGTATAAATGAATTAATTCAAGTACAGCTGGTTAGGTTGACTAAAGTTGATTGGTTTTCAGACAAATGTTCAAATCATCACAGTCGGATATTTTGGGACGTTAGTCGTCTGAATTTAAAGTTGATTGTAATCGAATTTTTTTTTTTTTTCGAAACAATAACATCTGGACAGTTAAAACCAATAGTGTGCGAGGAAATTTTTCAGGGGAGGGCTGGTTTTCCGAAAACTAAAAATTCACTTTTTGGTGCGAACTAAAAATTCACTTTTGGAAGTCACTTTTTGGTGCGAAAGCACCTAGCAAATCGGAAAAAGTTATCTCAGATCCAAAAACCCGAAAGAATTCTCCTAAATTTTCTATATTGATGAGGTAAAAAAGGGTCTTCATTTTTTGAATCAAAAACCCCAGCAAATTCGAATGATTTTTGCGAAAAAAAAAATCTCGTTCAAAACACAGGTGAACACTCCGCACACTACTGGTTAAAACGTACGAAATTAGTCAGCCAATATTTTTACACGTGGGAATGCATAAACTAACCATGTTCTAACATTTTCGCCTGAATATATACCAAATCAGAATTTTGAGTAATAGACCAAGAGCCACTCTAACAAGTAACTTTTTTTTTTGCTTTATGTCAGAAAACTATATTGAACCATGCAGCTAGACATACACTAAACAAATAATTTTACGTCTGTCATTACAGTCACCCACTTCGCGAAATCTGCACTATTATTCGCGGATAGAAAACACATCAATTAATAAAGCGAGCTGCATGTTTGAGTTTCTGGAATATATTTTGTTTTTGCTCAAAAATTCTTCGATTAAAATTTCTGCATGAAATGCCGCATTGTTTACAACATCTACATGAATGAATTATGTAAAAAAAACTATTAACTTTTTTGTCAGCTTTATGTCTGAAATTTTAAACATCGATTTTTTAACATAAAATAACACTAAATTATAAAAATCTGCCCTTAAATACACATATTTATTGTTTTCTGCATAAACAAAATTACATGTTTGTATTCACATGGTTTCACCAAAATGTCAATTTAGTCTAGTTTGATCCATCAACAATAATACTGTATTTTTCCTGAACGAAATGCAAGCTAATATGAAAAATTGTGATATTAAGCATTATTATATTAAGTGTTGTGGTTTTATCGAATTGTAAGGTATGCACCTTTTAAGAGCGATTAAAAAGCAGCAGTATCAAGCAGTATGTTTGGATAAAATGTTATTTTTATTTCGTTTACAGAAGAACTACATGTTATTTGAGAAATTTTATTGTGATTCACAATTTGTGAACCTGGAAATTCAACAAAAGTTTTAATTAATAAATATATAATGAGGAATGCACTTCAAAACGTTCAAAATGGAAGTGACAACATCGATATTTCAGTTCACACCACCATTCTAGAACCATTGCCAAAAGTACAACTTCACATGGCCATTTATTATAAGTACGATGAATTATACAAAAAGTTTCCGGTAGATTTGAATGATGACATTTGTGGTTGGTTATTTGGGAAAAAGCAATCATTTGCATTGGAATTAATGCTAAGAGACGCCGAGCAGCACGTGAAATATAACGGCCAATTACATTGTCCGCTGAAAGGCAATTTATCCATTGAATTTAACAATGTTTCGTTAAAAAAGCAATTTCCTCATTCCCACCGGCCATTATATATTTCAATCGACTTTCATTGAGGGTGATCAGAAAAATATTATTGCAATTACAAGAAGCTTCATTGAAATTACGGACAAAATTGGCAAACATATTTAAACTATAACTTTTTCTTTCATTTGTCATCGTTGTAAAGAATTGTTTGCCACCACAATTGTATCAACACAACCGACTTTCCCTGATTGGACTATGATTTGTTCAACTTTATCAACAGAACTACACATTTTTTTCCAATTGCAAGAAAAAAAATGCATGCACAAATACACGGACTCTTAAATGAAATAATAATCACCCATTTTTGTATTTCATATTGATAATATTTGTAAACATTACTGCACTTATTACTTTATCTTTTAATAAATAATAAATTTTGTCGTTATTACTGTTGTCATAAAATCATTTAAATTAAAGGGTATATTCACATTATTTTGACCATAAATGAGTTAATGTGTTGCCTACATTAAGGAGTTTTTGCACTCATTTATTTAAAATAATTCGTAAATATAAACGGACTGCTTTCTATTGGAAATCGTAATTTTAGAAAAAAAATGTACGCTTGAAAGTTCTCTTCACGAAAGTGGTTCAATGTTTAAATAGAAAATAAAACATTGTGCATTTTTCATAAAATAACCGAAATGAAAGTAATATTTCAGCTCCTGTAAAGTTTACAGTGTAAACTTCAATCGACTTCAATGTAACATATGAAATGTACCACATTTTTTCTCTCTGTGCATTATTTATAATAAATGCATGTATAAAATTTCGCAAAAAATAAAAACATATGTCTGACCAAAATTAAATCATAAAAAAACTTATATTAACGACCGATCACAGTCGGTCGTTGATGTTAATGCCCAGTTCTGCTGTTTATGTGTACAAATAGCGCTTCATAGGGTTCGTGTCTGTTTCCTGAAATGATTTTTAGACGACGTTAATTCAAAGCATGGAAATGATGACAACTGAACAACACTATACTAGATATTATTACCGCTGGAAATCCCTGTTATTTACTTCAACTGTACGGACTCATATACCGCCGTGTTTTCTATCATTTCCATGCTTTGCGTTAATTGCATTGTGATAAATACGTCCAATTTAAAATAATTTATTATGTAATATAATTGTTACTCTGAATTGAAAATCGATTAATTTAATTTGAATAGCGCGATCGTTTTGCCAACTCGTCGATCATGAACTACAATACAACATTGTTCTAAGTTTTAATTTCTGTTCAATAATTATACCAATTAATTCCGATTTCAAATCATGAATTTTATTATAACATTTTTATCTTGTAATCAAGCAACAGACCTCGAATCAAATGTGAAATTACTTTGGTGAAATTTTGAATATATCAAACCACAATTAAAATTCTCATCAAATAATTAACTCCCCTCATTTAAATGTTACATGATTTCCCACCTTCCAACATATTAATATTGACATTGATCTCCGCATCAAAGATTACAGAGGACTGGAAGGCCTTTCGATGCGAATTATGCATAGTTGGAATCACCCTTGGGCCATAAATTATTTGAAGTTCACTGCTTTCTTGAAAAATCTAGAAAAGTTTAACTCAAAGGCAGCAATATTACTAAAAATCCGACCATACATGGGCACAGGGGGTAACCCCTTTGAAGAAGACCTTTTTTTGCTCAACTTTGGAAATGGAAAAAATTTCTGGGGTTTTTCGCGAAAAATTCTTTCGATTTGCTTGAGATTTTCGCCAAAAAAAGATTTCCTCTTTTTTGGTCTTCAAGTTTTTGAAGTGTGGAGAGAAAGCTTTAAATTTGCTAGGGTTTTTCGCGAAAAAAAATGTCTTGATTTGGTAGGGTTTTTGGAGTGGCCGCTGGACCCCCCTCAAATTTTTTCCGTGCCCATGAATCTGACATAAGAAACGGCTCATATACATTTTCACTCAACAGTGAGTCAACGAAATTATGGATTACCCTGTATAGAAACATGCATATTTTGCTGTACTCACCACATTTTGACCACTGAACTGTATGGTCAAAGCTCATTGTTTGTTTGACAGTATGAACTCGTTTATATCAGCAGTGCCGCCAAAATACTTTACACAAACTCCTATAATTCACAGTCAACAAATTTTGGGTAAATACGTTAATTAATATAGATTTCCCCTTATCGCATAGTAATTATTTGAAGAGAAAAGTTCAATTTTAAGAGTTATGGTTGCTTTGACAAAAAAACTCCAAAATCATAATAGTTTAAGCAAAGTCTTTTTATCTTATCTTATCTTATTAGCAATTATTACAATGAAATTAGTTTTTATTTCTATGCAAAGAGCTTAAAATTTCAGAAGATACCAAAGTTTCTAGACGATTCCGAAATTTTAAGCTCTGAGGCAAACTATACGCATTATAATCATAACTACTTCATAGAACTATATGATTAGCAACTTTAAATAGTGGCATGAATGCCAAAGCGTTTTGTTTGCATTAAGGTCTACATTAATCGATAAATGGCGCACAGTCAATTTGTCAAAATAACTTTCATTCCCACACAAAAATATGAAAAAAAAAACTCCTTCACTTTCTTCCGCATTATTTCGAATCATAATTCAACAGCTGAAACAAAAACACTACCACGAAATTCGGTTTGTATGCATTTGACTCTTATTACGACCAGTTCAAAAATGTTGCTTAAATCGATGGGTGATGGGTTTTGAGTCGTTTGTTATCCCACTATCTTAACATAATAGGAAAGGCGCTTACACGTAACTATTCCAATCTTCTTTGATCATATCAGCTGCTTTTTCGGCTATCATAAAAACCTGTAAAAGTACAGACAAATGTGCATTAGAAAAAGTGTCATTCCTCACGATAGCAGTGAGGTTTTAAAGAGGTTTGACAACCAACCGGTGCATTTGGGTGGCCTGCTACAATTTCTGGCACTTAAGGAAAAAACGAAAGAAAAAAAAAACAGATATTATAAATGTGCAAAGTGTAATTGATAGATAATCCTTAAAACTTACTTATACTTGCGTCAACAACTCTCAGATTTCCAATTCCATAGACACGCAAACGTGGATCAACAACAGCGGTCGGATCATTTGACGGTCCCATTTTGCATGTTCCCGAATAGTGATAAATGGTTAATGTGAAATGTCTCGTATAACAAGCCCAATATTCATCGGTACCAAAACCATGATGCTCACAAGCCGGCAAAGGTGCTTTATGTAGACGAGCATTTATCTGTCGCATTGATGGTGTTTGTAGCATTTCTATAAGCTTTTTAATGCCATTCACAGATACACGTAAATCGTAACCTTCTGGATCACTGAAATAGTTTGCGTAGATTCGTGGATAAATTAGTGGATTGTTATTTTTTAGCATAATACGACCACGGCTTTTTGGTCTTAATACCATCGGAAAAACCATAAACGCGTCCGTTTGATGTGCAATCAAATTTCCAAACATTTTATTAATCAAATCATCACGTAAATTGAAATTGTCACGAAGAAAATCGAATGAATAAATTGATCCAGCGATTTGAAGCAGTTCAATATCGGGCCATGCATCAAAATCATTTTGATGTTCCAAATCTAAAAATACCAAAGATTCACAGCCACCAGGTGATGTAAGTTTTCCTTTGCCATTTTGAAAATCGAAAAAATCTTGTACGCCCAGCACATTTGGCCCAAGCGTAGTAACATTCACTTTGATCGTAAGAGCTCCTGCTGCCGTGTGATCCATTAAATTATAACCAACTGGTAAACCAACAAGCGTTGGAATATTCATATTTTGTAAGTGATCAGCTGGACCAATGCCACTGAGCATTAGCAATTGTGGACTATTTATAGCACCAGCACTGAGAATCACTTCTTTACTTGCATAAACTTCATGTAATCGTCCATTTTTTTTGTACTCAACACCATATGCAACTTTTGTGATGGGATTGATTAGAACTTTTGTTACCTGACTCATTTTACGGATAAACAGATTTTTTCGCTTTTTAAATGGATACAAGTATCCAACGTTTGAACTTACACGAGCTCCATTTTTGGTGTTTGTTTGTAAGTATGACACTCCTATTTGTGTTTTTCCATTGTAATCAACGTATGGAATTCCTAGATCTTTGGCAGCGTTCACAAAATGCTTTCCTGATTTCGATTTCCATGGTACTTCTGATACTGTGATTGGTCCTTTTTTACCTCGCATATAAGACGAACTACTTTTTACAAGATTTTTTTCCATTTTCATAAAATATGGTAAAACTTCCGCATAGCTCCAGCCAGTATTACCGAGTGCGGCCCAGTTATCATAATCACGACGATTACCACGTGTGTAAATCATATAGTTCAAAACACTTGATCCACCCATAACACGTCCTCTGGGCCAATGACAACGATTATTTTTCATTGCTAAGCACGACGAATTACTGCTTTGTGTTTTATATGCCCAATTAACTTGATTATTCAATTGTAAAAAATTCACTATGAGCGGAATATCCATAAGTAAACTCTCTTGGCCGCCAGCCTCAAGCAAAAGAATTTTCCAATTTGGATTTTCCGAAAGTCTACTGGCCAACGCACAGCCTACAATAAAACATACGGTCAAATGATTGATATTTTCACTTCATGACACTTTTACAAACCTGCCGTTCCAGCTCCAACAATAATGAAATCGAACTGTGATCGTTGACTGTCTTTTGTCTCATCAAGATCTTCAATTGCTGCATTACGTTGGCCACGATAAACAAAATCCATTATCGACGATAAAAGTTGACCATGAGACAAACACAGTTCACCACATAAAATTATTATAATAACAAATGCACAGTTACGTTTCATTTTGACACTTGAAATTTTTCCTATTATAGCAAGAAATGAAATAAAACTTTAAAAAAAAATCACTGTTAGCGCGAAACAGTGCTATGTAAATAAGACTTTGATTCAGTGAAAACTCAATGGGCATATCCTGTCTCCATTAACTTTATTCACTGTTATTTATTTTTGTTGCACGCGAAATGCAATTTATATTGCGGAAAACGATCGTACTTGATCAACTTTATCACACGAAATGAAACATCGACACGATTATTCTACTGTTCTTAAATGTAACAAAGAGTTCTACTGAATTCACAACGACATAGGCAAACACAACTTTGGATTTGTATGCGTGCACATGAGCACAGTCTGCCTTGATAACCTCGTTGCGCTTCCCCTCAGAAGTTGAAACAAAAAAAAACACACAGAATAAAATATATAGTTTTTAAAATTTTATAAATACATACTGCAACCACTAACGGTTGACGTTTTTCTTGTTGTTGTTGTGGTTTGCAATAGCATGTACGTGTTTTGTATTAATATTATATGTTTATGTGTTTTAATCCATTTTCATATGACGCAGAATTCCGTTTAAGCGATGCGCCTTATTAACCTGTGTGTCAGCATTGGCACGCTTCTACCCATTTATGTAAATTCAGAGCAAAACGAAATGACAAAAACCACCTTCTTTTCACTGACGACAATATATTTTGTGAAATATCAACCAAAAAAAACCTAATAATAAAAATTTCCAACGAAAAAAACATCCAAACCAAATTAGTGCGTAAGTGTGGTCAACTAACGCGAATGCATTTATGTTCTCGGATTTTTTATGTCTTGTGTACTAACCAAAAATACTAAACAATTACTAATTTTTATAAGATTTTCAATTGAAATTGTCATTTTGTTTGCATTCATTCGACGTATTGTTCGCTCACCAAATCTAATTATATATGCGTTCTGTGACGATCTTTGAATTGATTTATAGATTATTATCATCTGAGTATGTATTAAGTTTAACGGAGGCCACTAAAAATGACTAAACCGGACAAAATGTTGAACTCGACGTCAGAAGTTTAGTTATTTCTTTCGGAAATTTGTAATGATATACGTTAACCTTTTTTTGTGATTTTTATTTAAATCGACGTTCTTCCCGCGATGAAAGATTTCCTTGCTTTCGACGCAATTGTGGTCATTCGAAACAAAAATTTTGCATTTTTATCGATCACGATTAAAATCATTCGGTGACTATATGAAGAAAAAAAAATGTCTAAGACCTAAATGTATACGCCATTTTTTAAATGTAAATAGTTAAGACATTTCACATACGTAAGTTTTGGAGACATTCTACATAAAAACTATAACGACAACAACCATTAAGATTTAAGAACGATGATGACAAAGATCCGGTTGCAATTATGTTTTGTGACAATTTTCGGTCATGAACTTATCATATAGTTTTTCCCCCAAATGTATCATGCAAACATTTGGCCTAACAGCACTCGTAAAATACTCAAGGATCCTCAAAAGATACCAAATAACACCAATAAAACTAATAACTTGGCATGGGCGCGCCCTGAATAAATAATTGTTGTTTTTCTCTTAAATTTCTCATTCTTTTGAGCCGAAAGACTATCGTCATTTTTACCATTTTAAAAAAGAGTCTTGAAACAAAAACAAATTATGCTTTTATTTAATTATTTCCAGCAATAATGTATTCGTTTTGAAGCCAGGAAATTTTCGAAGCGATGAATTGCTCAACACAAAGTAATGATATAAGAACATATGTTTTTGTGAAAAATAACAAAATTTCACTGCTTCCCACCGTGCAATATTGCCCGATAAATCTTTATGTTTTTTTTTCGCATTTTAAAATCATCGTAAATACCGTTCTACTTCCGTGATCACTGAAAACAAAATATTGGTTAAGATTGAATCCAGACGACTGACTCATTAAATAGAGTTGCCGGCATTTTGAAATATATCAAAATTTAATCGTAGACATGGAATTTCCGTCAATGGAACGATGAGCGTTTCTCGTGAAACTACAACGGCTAATTTATTCACGTGCCGTATAAAATACATATAGATATACACGCATAAAGGTGTCAGAGTAAAAGTGTATCTTATGGACTCTTTTAATTTTAATGGTTCTTCAGTGGCCCTGTATTCGATCAACAAACCTTTTCTTCTTTTCCATTTAACTGACGATTTTCTCTTGACATATGTTTTGTTTTTACTACAAGTAAATCGATGTTAAATTTGCCAAAGGCCATATATTCTTTTCCAGTGAATCTTATCAGGATATATGCTTTTTTCTCGCTTTAGAAGAAAAAAATCGATGTCCAGTTGAAAAACGACATTTATGTTGCTTTCTAACTCTTTCTCGCCTCTTGCACCATTTAGTTGTACATACAGAGTGTCTGTGTCCAATAATCCAATCTTAAAGATCACCGAAGAGATTCAAATTTTTAATAGTTCACAATTCTCAAGGGCTGATTTGCAAAAATATAAATTCATATAAGGCGGTAACATGCCTGACAAGAGATAACATATAGCATCGAATCGAATTTTCATCGAACTATTCAATACACTGGAATCGGAAGACAGTAAATACGATTTACAATTTAATAACATTGTTCCTTATATGGAATGTGAATTTTTATTTAAATTTTGGTGCTACTGAATAAGGCATAGGTTGATTATACAATGTATATAATGCTGAATTTCTCATTGTGTTTACAAAATGTTTTCCTTGATAGCAAGATATAATCTCATTAAAAACTGTAAAAGTGATATTAAATCAAATTGATAAGAGCACGATTTATAAAACTCTTATTCCTTTGGTTCGGTAAGGTTCATTTGCATTTAAAAGCAATACATTCATTTCATTGCAATGGTAGGCTCGCGTGTCAGTGTCTGACCTTTGTATTATAATTTCTTTGGAGTTTACTTTTCTCATTGCTATGTAAGTGAAATTTTTGCAATGATCTTGAAATCTACATATCTCTCTGTTTTTTTTCTTCTTTTCTTAAAAAAGCAACTGAGTTGTTAAGTATTCCAGACGAATCATAGTTTTGATTACACTACATCATGTTCCGATGTCTACGTGACGAAAGACTCGTGTTTGTACATCTGTGCTGATATAAAATCATAATGTATTGCCTCTCGCATTAAGATCAGTGCAACGATTAAAGCACCAATTAAAAAGTAGTTCTGTGCAGTTTAATATTACAGTGTGTATTCATGATATTTTATTGTTGCTCATCACACCTCATATAAGCTTCACAAACAATAAATCAAAATTCTCGCTCTTTTACAATATTACAGGGATTGCGTCTCAAGTAAGGAGAAACAGTTTTTTTTTTTTCAAATATTTTGATTTTTTGTTTGATATTTAAAGTCGACTATAGTTCGTTTCGAGAATGACTAGTAATTTTACGGATTTTCTACCTCATTTTGTATGATATAAATTGGTTCTCATGCTTTGTTTACTGGCTGAAAATAAATCAAAATCGACTGTTAAAAAATAATAATATATAATACGAAAATTCTGTTCAGACAATCACCTATTTCTGCTTCAATTTCCACGAATTAAAAAAGACGGAATACAGTTCAAAATTAAATTTTTGTTTAATTAATTGTTTTGAGTTCAAAGAAATTGGCAAATTATTTAGACCGAAATCACATTTTTTTGTATTTTATTATAAACGACTGAACACTAGTCAAAGTGTCTCTCAGGCGGATTCTAGGGGGTAGACACCAATTAATAATTTATGATTAATAATTTATTTATTAGCAATTATAAAACTTTGAATAGCAGTGAATCAAATGAATCTTCCAAATGTCAAGCAAGCAATATTTTTTGTTTTTCTAACGTGATCATTCAACAAATCTTAAATACTATCTTGTTGATTTTATTTGGATTGCCGATAAAACTCGAAATGAGTAAAAATGATGAATTATTTCATGTAAAAAACGTGAAAAGATCATTTCAAATGTCATAAAAAAATCAGAATCTTTTTAATGATTCAAATGGAATCACAGTGAATCAGATAAATCATGTGTACCCCATTGAGCAGAATACTAATCTGCTTTTGAAATACGCAATTTTTGGCCGAACATGATAGTATTAAATTATGTCCCAATTTCGTGGCGAACATTTCAATTATACGTGTTTCAATTTCGTAAATAAGAGAATAAGAGGTAATTTGGTGAGTTTTTATACATAGGTAGTAAACCCGCTTTTAGAATGAGCCAAGCAAATTTTTTTTTTATATATATATTTCGAAAAGTTCAGTTTGATAATGATGAAAGTATTTCACCAGCAATCATTGTCGTTCCAAGTATCCACTGTTGAAGTAACCTCGCAAAAATCTTTACTATCGCCGAATTACCTTGTTCTCTCCTAATTGCTAATGTTAATAAGAATTTTATTTTTTTGAATTGAAAAATGTGATCGTTCTAGCTGTAATGTTTTTAGAACGTTGTAAAGGTGAAGGACAATGAGTGTTCGAGTGATGCTTTTTTATGTGGTAAACAATACCTACGCATTGTGCAAACAAAAGAATTTCCAGTTTGAATAACTTTTATACTTTACACGCATTTGTGACCTTTTAAAAATCTGTACACAGAAACAAGTATTCGAATACGCTTACTCGCACTTGCGGTGTTAGTAGAGACTTTACCCCTCAAAATGATTCACGCACTCTATTTTACTCTATTTTTGGTGTTAGTTTCATCGAACGTATGTGACGATACACTTAGCAATCATATTCGTTAGCGTATACACAGACTCATATGCACGCAACGAAACATAACTCATTGAACGCATGCGGCAACATACATATGTACTACACATGTATCTCTTGTGATGCGTTTACTTCGATGAAACTAACACCAAAAATAGAGTTAAATAGAGTGCGTAACTCATTTTGAGGGGAAAAACCTCTACTAACACCGCAAGTGCGAGTAAGCGTACTCGAATACTTGTTTCTGTGTAATTGTATCCTTTATTTTTATTGTGCATATCAAAGCATTTTGATGCGTTTTGTCTTCGCACGGCGCAAATTTATAGCAATCGGCACTTTAGTAAATCTTCTGCTTTTTCAATGTTTACTTCTTTTTTGTATTTTTTTCTTTCTATTTTTAGATTTACTTAGTGAGTGAATGAATGAGTGAATACAGCATAGTTTGCCGAGAAACACGAGTCATGATCGTGGTCATGCAAAAAAAAAAACTTTAAATGAAAATAAATGCGCGACGCTGCAAGTTGCATACCTTTTTCTGCTATCAGCGCAAAGTTCAAGTGCAATTTACCGGCAAAAACAGATATGTGTTTTGAACAGCTGTTTGATATAACAGTAATGCCACTTTATATAGACGATACCTTCGGATAAATCTCTACACTTGGTTAAAACGGGGCATGGCCATATTTTACACATATTAAGTTATACTTGTTGATCTTTCGAAAACTTACTTCGTTGCGTAGGAGATTCGATCGAGTAATTTCCAAAATGCAGCCGATACATACTACAACAAAATCCTGAAATATATGGACATTTTGCAATGACATTGATTTGTTGTTTTGGTATTCTAAATTTACACAAGAAAGTAAAGCGCCTATGCTATGCTGGCTGCATTCAATATTGTTGTTGTCACACATTATGTTGAGGTATTTTCAGCCAGCTGAATCAGCTCAGCCAGATATCGTCAGGAGCTGAAATGGAGTGGAATTAATAAAAGTGATTGTTATAGTGATTGTAGCAATGTAAGTGTAATTTTAACCATCTTCCACTCAATTTCAGCTCCTGACGATATCTGGCTGAGCTGATTCATCTGACTGAAAATATCTCAATATAATGTCTGGTTGTTGTAGGATATTTTATAAGAAAAAAACAAACACACATTTTCTGTATGTATAGAAAATAACAATCAGATAAGATGCAAACAACTATTATATTATTTTAAAATGTGCCGCCAATTGATTTCCCATTAAACATCTAATTATTACGGCCGAACGTCACGACCGCTGTTTTTATTGTAATTGAACCAATTCAACATTGTCAACCGGTTAACTTTCATTGAATACACTGAATATGCAATTACTAACTTTTTTGTTCGTTCTCCGAATCAGTTCGGGTGAATTAAATTTGTTATTCAATTAAAAAAAAAAACATATCTATTAAAAAAAATTAAAATTACAAAGAAAGAATTTTTGATTATTTTTGAATTTGCCAGAACAAAGAACTTATATTCAAATATAAAAACTCCAAAAGTTGAAGTGAATTATGGTTATAAAAGTTTTAATTAATCTGAAATGAGTTTAGTGTGAGGTTAAAAAAACAATTTTGGAGATCAACCCAAAGGTAACTTCTGAACCTGTTTAGAAGATAATTCATACGCAATGTATGAGTTGGAGAGCCCGCGTTGGAAATTTTGTAATGGTGAATGCATTGACGTCACCTTGACTATTTTTTACGTGAGCTATTTAAATTACACGGCATCAAATATCTTCAAGAACAAAACAGAACAGAATAGAACAAAAAAGAATGAAATCGTCATATAATACCGGTTGATTTTCTGAAGTTTTCCATTTACATTTGCGCTATTTTTAAATCATATGTATGCTATAAATAAATGTTGAGTTCTTTTTCTCAATCTGTACAAACAAATTGACTATTACAATACTAAAATCGGTTGTGGACGTATCATATCAATCCATTTCGATCAATAATCATTGGATGTTTGTATCTTACGACGTCGATTCTACGATGAATTTTTTTCTAGTTTATTCATGAATATCCATGGTATGTGGTTTATAATTGTTTTCCCTCGTTGAAAATCTTTCAAATTATATGGAGAAATATTTGTTTTACCATCTGGAATTGATTAAAACGAAAGACTCTTTTAATGCTCTTTATGATCACAAAACTATCTACGTATTTTCGATCTATTTTTAACCAACTAATTGCGAAACAAATATCCTGGCTTGTTTACCGTTTGGAACTTGTATCTTGACATTTTTTTCTGGGTTTTTACAAAACCACAGCTTGAACATTGCACATGAGCACGATGGTTAAGCTGAGTGCCAATATTGATGTCACAATTCCCACGGCCAAAATAACCAATTTTGTAAAAATGTCTTAAAAAATAATAGAAAATTTGTCTAAATGAATATTTCCGTACTGTTAAGGTAAATGGCAAGAAGCGAGAAAGTGCATGACATTTTTTAATTGAAAGTGGTATTTGGACCAATCTTGTCTCATTGATTTTTGCCAATTGATCAAACATCCGAATTGATATGAGATACGCGTGCTTTCAATACGAATCGAAGACACATATAAATGTCGTGTGTACCGGATTCGGGTTAATATGACATTGAAATTTAAAATCAAACTGGTTTCGACTTGTCTGAAGAGAAAGTTTTTCTTTGTGACGGCTTTCGTTATTTATGAAATTGAATATATCTGATAATTTCTTCACCGCAGAATATTTCCGTAGGATCAAATACTAATAAATGTGTTCATCGCCCGGAATACAATATCTCATATCTATATTGTCTCGCAGTAACAATTAAAATATTTGATGTCTGAAACTTGTTCAAAATTGAACAAAAAAAGTCAAACGAGTCGAATAAATGAAAAGAAATTTAAAGCGAATTCTTGGATTTGAGCCGGTGGTATATTTTATTGCATATGTTTTATATTTTTCAACTCGTTTGGGTCAGTATACTGGTATTAGTTTCAGGTTAACGTTTTGTTGTGAATGAAAATTTTTCATTGCATACTTTCGGGAGGTTTCACATTTTCTTCGTAACTCTTTTCTTCTTTATAGTGGATAAGCCTTGATCATTTTTAAAACTGTAAATTGTATTCGCAAACTAAGTCAAGAAAAAAATATCAAAAAAGATCAAAACTCATAAAAACTGTGCGTTTTAATCAAATTTTGTATTGAACTTTTCATAATTGTACCTTTTGATCCCATTTAAAAATCCTACTCCTTCTCTTCGCCATTCCTTCTCGTCAGAGGAACAATCCCAGGTATTTTTCAAAGAAAGTATACAAAAATGTCGCTTCAAATCTTTTGTTCAGCAATGATTTAAGCTATTTTCTAGAAAATATGGTAACAAATATAAGTAAAGTCGATCGTTCCCTCCATTCTATATTTCAAACAATTATTTATTTGGTCATTTCGTGTATTTTCTTTCTATAATTTATAACAATCTTAATATATTAACTCTATCAAACTTAAAAACGACTAAAAAACAAAATAAAAACAAAAATGGATGATTGCTGGTGAACTGCTACATATTGATTGGAATAAACTGTTCAATTCAAAAACATTTCAATTTTTTCAACAAAAAAAAAATCATTCGTATGGCACATTCAACTTACGTGTTCGATTTTTTTTTTAAATGTTCATTTGTGCCGCAGATTCTCTATTTCGACTGACCTATCAATTTCCATATCAATCTCATCATTATCCAGAGTCTCTTCCAATCGAAATCCATTGAATTCGAAGTGGAATTGACCCAACACGTGACTTGTAAATTATCAGTCTAGCACTTAAATTAGGGTATGTACACAAATAATTATTGTAACTTATATGCATATTATTTAAGTCGATGCATTTGACATTGTAAGTGATATGAATTTTGGGGTTGTTGATGAGGAGGTCTCTCGTTTCTGATCTCTAAATGTATTTTTCGCATTTATTCTTTCACTATTCGAAGGGTATAGGTGGTAAGCCAATCTTCTTTAATTAAGTCGGCTCCCTTTTCACCGATCATGATCACTGGAGCATTTGTGTTACCACTGGAAATTGTAGGCACTATGGAAGGATTTTTGAAATTAAAAATCTTGAAAAAAAAAAAAAAAAAAAAAATACATTTGTTTATTACTAAAAACTTACTAATACTGGCATCGATAACTCTAAGTCCTTTGATACCATAAACTCGTAATCGTGGATCGACAACAGCTTCTGGATCATAGTCCGGTCCCATTTTGCATGTACCAACCGGATGATAGATTGTCATTGAAATGGTTCTAATATGACACTCGATATATGGATCGGACATAAATTTATGTTGCTTACAATTTGGAAATGGTATTCTATGAATTCTTGATCCAAATTGTTTAAATACTTTGGTGCCTTCGGCAACTTTTAATGCAATTTTTGCACCTTCCACCAATGTGTCAATGTCGAAACGATCGCCAAAATAATTTGGATCCATAAGTGGATAATCAAATGGATTTTTGCTACGTAATCTAACCCATCCACGTGATCGTGGACGCAACAACAATGGCATTATAGTCCAAGCGTCTTTGCTGTTGAAACAAAAAATTATAATAAAACACCGGTAAATGATTGTGTAACATTTAAAAACAAAATGAAACAAAACTATTGACTCACTTGGCAATTGGCGCATAAACCGATTGATATAAACTTTCTTTTATGCCGAGAACTTTTTTAATTCGTGCACCAGCATCTGAATTGATTGAAGCTGGTGCCATGTGGAATTGAATGTCTGGCCAATCAATCGAATGATTTCCTAATTTTGTTGTCACAAACGCCAATCCTTCAACCCCACCCAGCGTAGTCATTGGACCACGTTCATTCAATACATATTGATTTGTTGTTGTTGCTGGATTAAAACGATCTTGAATAATTGCAATTGGTTTATCGACCTAAGAAATGCCAAAATCATTCAGTACAAATTACTTTAAAAAAAAATAAACATCTATTTGTTATAATTGAATTTAAAACATACCAAAAATGTCATTCCTCCCATGCCGACGTGATCTTGTAAATTTTCACCGACTGCTAAATCTTTGATAACACGAATTCCATGTTGTTCCAAATGTGCTCTCGGACCAATGCCACTGAGCATTAGCAATTGTGGACTATTTATAGCACCAGCTGATAAAATAACTTCACGTCGGGCTGAGATACGATACTTCTTTCCATAGCGAACAAATTCAACGCCAGTCGCTTGCATTTTGATATCGTCAATTAATAACCGAGTTACATGGGCATTCATTGCAACATGCAAATTTTTTCGCAAACGAACCGGCCGAATAAACGCCTTTGCTGTACTGCAACGACTTCCGCGTCGAATTGTGCCCTGTGCAATCATGAATCCTTGCTGCTTTTCACCATTTATATCACGATTTTCATAGCCCAATTCGGTTCCCGCCTCAACAAATGCAGCTACGAGTGGCGTATGCCATGGCGACTCTTGTACTGTTAGATAGCCACCTTTTGAATGATACGGCGGTTTTGCCAAATATGGATTTCGATTGTCTTCGGACTTTTTGAAGTAATGTAACACATTTTTCCAACCCCATCCCGGATTACCGAGCGATTCCCATAATTCATAATCGTGTTTATTGCCTCGCACATATAACATATAGTTCAATACTGATGATCCACCTAATACTTTGCCTCTTGGCCAATTACAACGATTGTTCTTCATGCCCAAACATGATTTATTACTCGGTTCAGTTTTATATCCCCAATCCAATTTACTTAACTGCAAATATGCGGCAAGCGAAGGTACCTACAAGCAAAGAAAAAGTGTTTATGTTTCACTTTCCAAAGAAATAATTCATAATTTTGTGTATTCTTACGTCAGAAATTTCATTTTCATCGGGACCGGCTTCCAACAAAAGTATACGCCAATGTTTGATCTCACTTAATCGATTTGCTACCACAGCACCTACGAAAATATTAAAATATATCGCAATTATAACCGTTTTTTTTCTTCATTAAAACTTTAAAAATAATTCAAATGCAGAAAACTTATTTGAAAATAAATGCATATATTTACCTGCCGAACCACTGCCAATAATAATGAAGTCATATTGAGCATAGAGGATTTTTTGATCGATTGGTCGTGATTCGGGATCGACACGATCATAGCGATAATAGGAAATTGCAGCCAATAATAATGGTATTAACCAAAGACTAGTGGTAACGACGCCAAACGTTGACTTTATCACAGTCGATGCAATCAGTATATTCAGTACCATTTCGTTTGTGAATGTTTGCTTGTTGATTTTCTCACAATATTTCGTTTAGCTATTTATTTTTTACCTTCAAATATAGTGTTCGTTTTTCCTTCTCTTGTCAATTGTTTTTTTTTTATCATTCATATATAAGTTGCTACGCTAGCTTTCGATTTCGGCTTTGTTTCGAGAATTTAAAAATGAGTCCAAATGAATATTTTATCGTAATTTATTAGTTTCAATTGCCAATTAACTTTTACTTTCAAACAAATAATTTCATTCAATGTAATATTCATTCTCGAACAAAAAAAGCAGCAATCTCGAAACCAAAAAAACACAATGGATGATGATTCTCGTCGACGAAATTCCGATCAGTTTTGCGTGACGACTTGATTTCAATTCTGAAACAAAAAATAAAATAAAATAAGAGAAGACATCATCATTAGAGTGAAAAATGTACTGGTCTTGAATATATTTTATGTAGTTCATATTTCTGTTATGTTATTTCATCTGCGTGACCTCGTTGGATCGTAAAAATTGCATAGCATTTTCGTAGAATTATCTCGTACATAATATTCGATAACGAGAGTTCATTTACCAAGTTTTATTAAAATAGATGAAATACTAAAACAACAACAGTCAGAAAAGATAATCATTGCATTTGGTTGGTTAATTTGAATTGAGCCAAGGACACATTTTCAACAAGTTAACAAGTTAAAGGTCTCAAGTGTTACACCGTCGTAAGCATGCATTGTTCGGTGTGTGTGTGTGTGTGTGTGTGTGTGTGTGTGTGTGTGTGTGTGTGCTTGTTATTATTTGAAATTGAAATGGATTGCATTGCATGCGTGTTCGTTCATTGTAACAATTGTGCATATGCACAGATTTATAAAAGCGGGTCGAACGAAGAAAAGGAGAAGGAAAATTACACAGCAAAAAACGAGAAAAAAATCTTCAAGCAAACTTCATAAAAACAAAGAGCGCAAAATACGATAGACAAGTCTAACAATCATGTCAACGAACAATAACACACATAAAACATGAAGACAGAGAGAAGAGAGAGAGAAATAAAAAAACACCGACGACGTAAAATGCAAAACTTGTGTAAAAAGCGTACGAACGCAAACCAAGCAATAAAATAAGTGACAGAGAAAAAAAGGTTTTAGTTACGAATTATTAAATAAGTGCGGCGGCAATACTAAACAATGGCAACGTAACATAAACATGGAATGTCGAAGAAACATGACTGACAAGTGCATTTAAATGATTTTGTAATAAAGCGTTTGAGGTGGTCTTTTGTTTTCGTATTTCGAATCTATTTCGCTCTTTCACTCATTTTTTTTTTCGTTTTTGTTCTCTGCATTTGCATTCGCTTCAAGATTGAAAATAGATGCACACACCGCGTGTATTTCATTGTGATTTTCTGCAGATAGAGTTGGTTTCGCCTCATCGATATATGACAAGTATTATTAATACTTGATGTTTAGTAATAAGGAATCACTTTCTTATGTTTGTTTTGTTTGTTACTTTTTTTTTAATTTGACGTTGTACTCAAGTATAATATCAATTTTAAAGTTTTTTTTTGTTTAAAATTCAAACGATGTTTATCTTTTGCCTTTGTACAAATGCTTAATTACGATGTGCTTATCTAAAATTTGTGCGCTTTTCATCGGATATAAAAAGGGCGACTGGCGCGATTTGACTATTTAATTTCTTTGGCCAAAAACACCGAACCGTTTGCATGTTTTGTGCACATAAAATACGCGCACAAACTCCACACCGTGAAAATTTCGCCATTAATCAGTGGAATTAAATGTAGATAGGTCCCTTCTCTGTATCGCCTACAGGAAAAGAGCAACTCATTTTGCATGATTCGATGGTTTACCATAAAAATCACTTGACATAATTTGAAAGCGCAACCCAACATAAACTCAACATTTATAATCTGCACTTGTGAAACGGCAAGTGAGAAATGCATATATTTCGATGATTTAATTTTTGCACATTCGAGCTGATTGTTCGAAGTAACACAGAAGACATTATGAAAACAAAACAAAAATAATGTAACGATATGAAGACATTTGGTTGTTTGTGACGGGACACAAATTTCAAATTTTACCACTTGCATAAGTACACATGAACCTTGAAATAACAGACCAGTCTATTGTTTAAATTAATCGGTGACCGATGCAATACAATGAATCGGTGACCGATGCAACACATAACATGGAATTGTGCATGAATTTAAAGTGAATGTGTTTAATGTAATGCATTCAATCATTAACGACATTAATGATCATTCACGCTTCGCCTAAGTTTGATGAAAATGGAAATTAAATTTGCCATAATTTGCGTAGTGTAATATGGAAAGTATTCTTGAAAGAGCATTGCATTTCCGCATTCAAACCGAATCGAATTCGTTGTTTGAATGTACACAGAATTTCGAAAACTGTCATACGTGATACATGCGGTATCATATTGTGTACAATGCAAGAAAATACGACAAATACGCGAATTCAAGATTAAAACAAATAGATATTCCAAGGTGTGTTTTCAATCATCGTTAATGCTAAACAAATTGTTGATGATTAACGGTGAATGTGAAACAGAGAAAAAAATGAGAGAAAAAATATGGCAAACGTGATGGATGGTAAAAGATGACGGTAATTCGTTTAATTTATCAAATGATTAAAGCGGGAAAAAACGAACAGCGTATTGACACAAAGACCGTGCAGAGATTTCAACATCGCGCAACTTATGTACCATTGTTGAATGAGATGACTCGACAAGCGCTGAAATAATTAAGACACCGAATTGTTTCCTCAGAGCGTGACGGAAGAATTCTGTTAATCTTATATAACTTTTGACATTTTCAAATATGTCATGCAATTAACAAGCATTTATACATAACACCCGAAGAATTCTAGTGACATTTATTTATTTACGTTTGATATAGCAGTTTAGAGAATTTCGGGAGTCATGATTTTTACTTATGATTCACAGCAGAGTTTTTATTTTGGATTAAGTTCGTTTGGCTTAACATATTTGCCAACAAAATCAATGAGTCAACATTGAGCATGAATGAATACGCATTTATAACAAAAGTCAGTTAGTAAAAAAATTGCTATGACAAAAAGCATTCAAAACAAATAATTAAAATAATGATAACACAAACATTTGCAATATTTTCTTTTTTCAAACTGTGGTTTTGCGTCGCTTCAAATGAGTGAGACGTCGAAAAAATTCAATTTACTTGGAAACTCTGCGTTCGGTGAAAAATATATAAAATTCGTTCTTGAATTTACAAGAGAGAGAGAAAAATGCTAGGGAAAATGACACACCTTATATTGTAGCGCCACTGATTCATATTTGAACATTTCATTGTGAAATACAATTCACACGTTGATATTGATGATTTTCGATGAGCGTAGAACAGTGAAAGTTAAAGCAAATAGAAATTGCCAAACAAAATCTTTACGAAGTTCGAGAAAAAAAGACAACAACAATAAAACGTGAGATTGGATCAATTGCAAGCAAATATTCAATTTTATCACAACATTCAATATTTGGCCATTGACTTATGTAAACGTACGGAGAAATTATGGACAGAGTTGCACTTGAACCAAAACCAATTTAACCCATATCGTATGAAAATGAAAAACCATATGTATACATTTCTTGGAAATACGAGTTGATGTCAAAATCAATAAATTGTGATTTATTTTTTTAAATATAATTTATTTTTTGCGCCAAAATTCGATATATCGAAACGTGAAAATTCAATCACAGTAAAAAGAGAGACGAAAAGAAAATAATGGAGAATCCGGTTCGATAGATCGAACAGTGGTATGATATGGGTTAATCATATATTTTGAAATGCAATTGTGTGTATTATCTTTATTGCGTGATTTCTTTAATAAAATGCGAAACGGGAAATACTTGTTCAAAAACCTGGTGCCGATGACATCTCTTGGTGGTATATTTTGCGTTTTCATTATTTGAAACTAACGGCTACACATCTCAATCTGTCACAACCAATCATTAGCGCATTTGAATTGCATAAGAAATTATATGCATTTTTATTTGCCATGTCACACACCCAACACAGCAACCCCACACTAAATAGATAACAATTTCTGAGAGAGCTGCTATGTTCGTCAGCTGCTGCTGTGTAGATTGTGTAAAAAGAAAAGTGATAAATTGTGAGTATCTACGATTGTATCCGATGGCTACTGTGCGACGTAAAGATGTGTATTGCATTGAAAATGCATTCAATTCCTTCACTCTTTCTTTTATTTAATTGCCTTTTTAATTTGTATAATTAACGTGAACTTGAATTTAAAATAAATTTGAGTTCAATTTGATTTGCAAAAAAAAAGTGTGGATTTTTTTTTGCTTAATGAGATTTTATAACGTACCAAAAGATTATCGGAGATTTCTGACAAACAAATCATGCAAAATGACGTCTTTATCTTATAACGTAAATCATATATACAAAACAGTTCCAACAAAAATGTTACAACTTTCTCTATCGCAAATTTCGATCGATTTTCATCTGTGACAATATTATGAAATCAAAATTTACTGACAATTCGTGTAACGTGTGAACAGATGGAACATTTATAAATATAGCAAATGAATGAAAACCAAATGTATTCAGAGCGAACAATCGGCTAGATACGAAACGATAAAATATTATACAAACAATAACAAAGTGACAACAAAACCGAGATTTGTCGCAAAATCAGTGAATGCAGAAAAGAAAAAAAAAATCACAAATTATGTATTTACAAAGAGATTCACTCTCACTTGCTTTGCTTGCACTTGAAAGGCCATTTTTCGAGCATTAGTTGATTCAATTGAGTTTACGAAAAGCTGAGAGACGAGATGTTAATTGGCGCCCATTTAAAGTAATTAAAATATTACTTGAGACGCAATGGACGACCACTACATTTCTTAATCTTCTTTCATTCTCTTTCTCCTGCACCTTCCCATATTTCGACATTTTCACTTATCTAAATCTCGTTCGATGTATTATTTCACTTCTGATGCGTTCACCATCTTGTTATGAAATTGTGTAGCACCAAACAGTCACAAGTGTTAATAACACACCGATTGCCTTTCAATTCGAAGACGATTCAAAAATAATCATTGCAAAAATGAAGGAAGAGAAGAAAAAAAGAAGTGCGCTTCAGAGAGTAGCCACTTTTAGTGGGTCATCATATGCGAGTGTGTTGCCTACTAACACTTGTACAAACAGCTCACGATTATTATTTAAATAAATTATATTGTTGAATTTAAAAAAATACATGCTTGCTTTCATTCGTTTTCTCGGCTAACATGATCAATACATGCGCTTCGTATTGCTTCATTGTTATTAACTGAGAAAGTTCGAGTCTTCCGCTGATCGTTTTTTTTTAAATTTATTTCATGTTTCGGTTTTGTGACACAAATTCAGATACATTCAAATTGCCTGTTAGCTAATACTTAACGATTATTAGCTAATAGATTATGCATTAATTTATTTGTTTATTGTTTGGTTTTTTAATCGTACACAGAGATATGGTCATAAATTTATAAACAATCGATCATAAGTTAGTTACCCTTACCATTTTCACTGTATTCTTGTAATAGTTAACATCACTTTAAAATCGTCTATTTATTCTACTCTTGATATGCAAATATTTGGTTTTGGTTTTGACACACGAGAATTTATTTGTACTGTTGATTATTGATTACATAAGTGAGGGCCGAATAGTTCTGTTTTTACTTTGATAAACACACTCTTTCGAGATTGATTCGCTAACACATGGTACTAATAAATAATATGATATTTCAAGCTCCGATTACACTCTTTTTTTAAAGTTCAAGCTGATTTTATAAGTTCAACGAAAAAAAAGTCGTCTGATCACTTTTTCCTGAATGGAATCGGCATCTACTTTTAACACTCTTTTAAACAAAGTTGATTCTCAAACGACGTAAATTTAGTGAAATTTTATATTGCAACATGAATGCATGCAATTTTTTAGTCACAATCCATGAAATGAGGTCTTCTGTCTTTAATCGAGAGATCACTTGAATTCGATACGTTGTTTATTATCGGGTTGAGTCGTACAAAATTAAATTAAAATAGCCACACATATCAATTTGTTCAGCTTGTCCAATAAAAAGTAAACAAAGTTTTGTGGTACCGTTTCCTTTCTTTTTCGATCAACATGCACCTTTGTTGCATTCCGCGCGCAGATTGAAAGCACTTGTTTACACGAACGAAATGCACACCATGTGTAAAATTCGAAAACCATATGATTACCCGAGAGAGTTTGATTTTGCTAACACAATTTTTTGTTTTGTTTTGGTTTCTTTATTTTTTTTTTGTTTCGTTTTTATTTCTGCTACCAATGCGATACTAATGTTATCTATCGCTGTAATAAGTCAACGGGAAAAAAATTCCATACCGTTCTCCGGAAGCAAAACTACGGTTTGTGTATACGTTTTGTTGAGTGAATTGTTTTTCAATTGACTGAGCTAATTCTTGTAATGGCCAATGAATGCCTACCGTCTGATTAACGATATTTCCGAAAACTTATATCAAATGGTTGTTGTTGGGGAGAAAGGTGTGCTTGTGTGTAGTGTTTGATCGGCGTTGTTGTTGTTTTCTGCAGTTTATTTCGTATCGTAAAAAAAATAAATAAAAACTAAATGAACGCAGCTAGAGCACACACACGTCATTCAAGCGCAAGCGATTTATATCAACTGATCGAAAAACTGACAATGGAATCTCACATTGTACACACGATGATGACGTTTTCGAATCCACGCGCTACACAGAGTCGCTGTGCGAAAGAAAAGCCAAAAGTAAATTGAAAATAAATATTTCGTTATGACTTCGGCAACGGGAATTTATTTATGTGTGCATTTTTTTTTTTTGAAAAAAAAAGAGCTGGTTAAATAAATAAACGACTTCATTGTACACACAAAATACTTGTCTTGGTTTGGTTGAAATGGAAATTGGCTGCGCAAAGGCACACACAACAAAACATCACAGTGCTTACATACGAAAACGAATTGATTTTTCTTCTTCTGTTTAAACGACAACGACGAGAGCGGGGCGATTTCGATCTTTTTTTTCTTCTCTTCATTGTATACGTCCGAGTGTCGGTATTTTTGGTGTACGTGTACGATTCGACACGTTCATACCAAACTGAAATAATGCATTGCATTATTATCAAAATGTAACATTATCAGAAGAAGAAGAGAAGATTTAGTTTCCAAACTACCGTTTTCATATGACTGATTTTCGCAACTTCTCTTTCATTGGTGCATTTTATTTCGTCATAGGTATTTCTTTTTCCCTCCGGCGATGCATAATTGTTAAAGATTTAAATTTTTCTTGATCATGGCTTGCATTTACACCATTTTTTCTCTCTTAATAGTGGTGAAACCATGTAAGACGACCGGAACTTTAGTTTTGACTGCATTGCATGGATATTTCGTAAGTTACCAAGTTCGAGGTTTGAACTTTAAATTGAAAATTTAATAAAAGCAAAACGAAATTATTATTGGTGAAAACATGCTCAATATTCTTTACCATGCTCATAAATGTTAACATTCGTCGGTTCCGAAATCAAACATTATCATCTGTGTGAATCTTAGCTACGTGCAATCTCTCACACCGCCATGTAAGTTTTTTTTTTCTTCATCGGTCTTTCGGTTTCGTTTACATATTACTCAAATTTATGGTCAAGGAAATGTTGCTGGCATAACCAAGTGTGCACGTATGCGTGTGTGATATATAAAAAAAAGTATCGGCCAATGAAATTATGTCACGTTAAAATTTTCGCATTGATACCATTGGTGAAATGTATATACATATGCAAGAGGATTCACTATCTTATGTTACGACATTGTTGTGTTTATCATAAAAAATGTACGCAAAAATAAAAACAAGATCGTTTGAATATATATATATATCGACGATAAATGTGATTAAACACACGTATAACCCATTTACCCGTAATTGCGAATTTTGCTGGCGCACTTTCTGCCAATATACGCCCCAACTGTATTATATAATTCACGTATCTTAACCAATTTTAAACTTGATCAAATACTCATTCGCACGTACGATATTTCGCTGTCAAATTGGATTTTAATTGTACATTATTACTGTTGTTAACAGAAAAATATGAAAGAAGGAAATTTGATGACATATTCTGTACAAGAATGGACATAGTTATACTGCGTTGTGAATGGTGGTCGCTCTTTTTAATTTGTGATCAGATTTCAAAGTCTTAACTGGCATCAAATATTTTTTTTCGTTTTCCAACGATAGACACTTGTCGTGAAGAACCACATACACTGTGTTATTGATGTGTGTATTGATAAAAATATCTGAATATCATTGACAAGTTAATCCTAGGGGTTTTCATCTCAATCAAAACACTGTGAATATATGGCCCCCCCTATCCAGCCCGACAAATTTTTGTGATTGACTTAAAACCTTTTTAGGGATTTAGTGACTAATTTGAATCGTTGCGGCGAAAGAGTAGCTCTTATTTTTCTCCAAATAATACTGCAACATGAAGTTTTTTTCACACGGTTTATTTGTTGTAATACAACAAATAAACTATTCATAAAAAACTTTATGTTGCAGTATTATTTGGAGAAAAATAAGAGCTACTCTTTCGCCGCAACGATTCATTTGTGATAATTTGTGACACCAATATTTCGGTCAGTTTTGGCCATTTTTCTATTTAGGCCTATTGGCCAAAAAGTCTCTTAGCGAAATTTTGAATAAAAGTAAAAAATGAAAATCTAATGATGCAGAATTTTAGTGATTAATTTGTGACTCACAAATATGACGTTAGATTTTTGACACGACATCTGGTGGACATATTATGAACAAAAAATTGAAAAATGCACAAAAATGATTTTAATCGAAAATTTGAAAACGCTTTTCATAAAAATGGGCAAAATTATAAAAATTCTTCGACATAATTTTAGTGACCAATTTGTGACTCTCAAAAATGACAACATTTGAATTTGTGACACGACGTGTGTGACAAAAATCTCAATATTTCGATTTTCTCACTAAAAGTCGAAGTTGAATGAAATTTTGCAAATCGAATACGTAGATCCAAATAAATGGTGTTATCTTTTAGTGACCAATTTGTGACTTTCAAAAATGTCAACATTTGAATTTGTGACACAACGTGTGTGATAGAAACTAGGGGCAGAGCAGTACTAGGATAATAATTTTTCCTTAAAGTAATTCTATGTTGTGAGTAGTAATCAGTATTAATCAGTGATGGTTTTTTCCTATCTGAATAGCGCTAGCTATTCGCAGCGCCTGTACAGCATTGCTGCCCAGATGCTGAATCGTAGCGGTTGCCGCACGCGCAACACACTTCGTTTGTACCACACAGAGCATATACGTTCGCGTTCATTCTCTGTTCGACATGCGTTTGTTACTGACTATGGTATTAGTGTATCATACTCTGTGAGCTCACTGGTTACTTAGACTATATGACAATATGTTGTGTGGTACAAAACGCGTGCGGCAACCGCTTCGATTCAGCATCTGGGCAGCAATGCTGTTCAAACACTGCGAATAGCTAGCGCTATTCAGATAGGAAAAAACCATCACTGGTATTAATCCGCAGTAATACACACTTGTGTAAATTCTAACAGCAGTGCAATGACGTTTTATGTGTACGTTGTTTATTACATTTTTTAGGAATAAAGCGATCGTCGTATATTGCGGATTGAAACAATTTATTCGATATTTATTAAATTAAATTCGTTATTTTCCATTTTTCAACAATAAAATGTCTCATCCGAAATATACGACGATCGCTTTATTCCTAACAAATGTAATACACAACGTACACATAAAACGTCATTGCACTGCTGTTAGAATTTACACAAGTGTGTATTACTGCGGATTGATACGGATTACTACTCACAACATAGAATTACTATAAGCAAAAATTATTATTCTAGTACTGCTCTGCCCCTAGTTTCTATCACACACGTTGTGTCACAAATTCAAATGTTGACATTTTTGGGAGTCACAAATTAGTCACTAAAATTATGTCGAAGAATTTTTATAAGTTTGCCCATTTTTATGAAAAGCCTTTTCAAATTTTCGATTAAAATCATTTTTGTGCATTTTTCAATTTTTTGTTCATAATATGTCCACCAGATGTCGTATCGAAAATCTAAAGTCATATTTGTGAGTCACAAATTAATCACTAAAATTCTGCATCATTAGATTTTCATTTTTTGCTTTTATTCAAAATTTTGCTAAGAGACTTTTTGGCCAATAGGCCTAAATAGAAAAATGGCCAAAATTGGCCGAAGGTCTATTCCATGGGCCGAAATATTGGTGTCACAGATTATCACAAATTAGTCACTAAATCCCTAAAAAGGTTTCAAGTCAATCGCAAATTTTGTCGGGCTGGATAGGGGGGGCCGAATATATGCATAGTATATATTCAATTGATGTGCCGCCAAATCAGAATTTGATTGACATATTGTGCCGTATTTTGCGAATGCTCTGCGAATGTTCTCGTAACATATGAATTTTACTCCAAAACCATCGAATAATATGTATTCGCGAACAGATAAATTCCCCTAGAGTTTATCTTTATTATTTTTGCTATGAAGAAAAAATCTTTAATTCTATTTATTTTGTACAGTTTTAAAAATAAAACAACAAATATATCAAACCAAATTGTAGTAAAATTAGTTGATAATAATAATTTATCACAAATTATTATGATTTTCTATTTATAAATTACAATCATGAACAGTAAAAAGTGTCGCAACACTTTCATCAAAGCGGTATTTCAACAGTCAAATAGTTGACTCTCCAAATTATATGCAAATTATCACACTTAGCTATCGCTGGATATCATCAACAATTTTCTCTCACAAAATTTAGCTTTCGCATAAACTATAAGATTTTTCTGTTATCCAAACCACAATAACATCACGTGTATATTCAATGTGTCGGCTGCCGTGCATTATTCTTTTTATAAATCCGAACACAAAAAAAACCATGCCGCTGCTGTTGCTCAGGCAAAGTAAGCGGTCGTTTTTGTTGTTCGATTATATGTGCACATAATCGTTTGAATAAAATTGTAACTCGCCAATAAATTTCATTACACTATATTGAAAATGTATTATGAGAATTACGCAATTCGGAAGGAATGGCAAAGAAGAGAGCGAAATGTGCGCACTCAACGAAAGCAACATCTCTTGCCCGTCTCGATTGTTTATTGTCGATTTTGGGCATACACACACTTTTCTCTCCAATGCTATCGATAAAAAACACAATATATGCGATTCGAGCTAACTGAATCTACAAAAGAAAATCATTGCCTCTTTCTATGTCGATTAAGATTCTTTTTTTATTCAAAAAGAAGTAAGCGTACAGTAAAAGTCAAGTTTTTCTCTAATTTACTGCGATTTTGCATTAAATTTGTATTGAAAAGTAAAAGCAAGGAATGTGGCAAAACAGAGTAATTCGAAGCAAATAATTTTGTATCGCTTAAAAGTTTTTTTGGCTAAAATTTAAGCTGTATAATTTGGTATGATTTAAATGAGAATTTAAACGGAAATTAGGCAATATTTGGTATAGAATCTATATTATTTAAAAAAATAACAAGTTTTTTTCTTCATTTTTTTCCAAAAATTATAATATTTCTCATGAAAACTAGACGTCATCAGTGTGAGAGAATATTGTTTCTTTGAACCCAAAA